GAAATTAACCGAAAATGAAAAACAATGCCAGTCGGCGAGTCGGCGGCGTCCGCTGCTAATGCCGCTGCCGCGGCTAGAAAAGCAAATTATTTAATTATAATTTTTGTGCATTGAGCAAGCGATGACGACGAACGACGCCGACCGCCGACCAACGACCGGCGACCGACGACAACGAGCGATGACGACGAGACACGATGACTGATCGATAGAAGCAAGCCGAGTGCGCAGGCGAGAGCTTCAATTGAAGTTCTATTGTGCGGGAGTCGCTGTGCGGCCCAGTGTTGCCATCATTGGGGAAGCAGAGAAAAAAGCTAAAGGCGCGCGCCCAAACCCTTTTTAGATATTTCGGCTAATCAGCACCCCTGCAATTATGGGTGTGTCCCTCAAAAGACCACCAAACCCACCCCTAGATAACAACATAGTTTAGGGATTTAGTAACTACCCTATGCCCGCATAAGATGAGAGTAAATGTCTGTCCTAAAAAGACGGGTGGTAGCCTCTGAACCCCTACGTTTAACTGTGGCAACCAACACATCTAATATCCAGTACATGCATATAATTTTAATTCACATGTAAACTACAAAAGTGTGGGAAGGATTCTTTTTAAGGTTATGTAAAATTTTGGTGACAAGAATTGCCTGCATTTTCAATGCCTAGCTTAGCTCAACCCTATAAAATATTATAGATACACATATTATTTACTTAATAATTGAAGCACACTTGTTTACAAATAATTTGGTATTAACATTCCTTTACCCTCATTTATTTCAACTCATTTTTTTTAAATATTATGAGTTATATGCTTACATGGGAGGGAACCTCTTGAATTTAATTAAATTAAAATTGTAAATACTTGTAGTTTAGCATGTAAACATCTTTTCTCGGCGTACAAGATGTTAAAAAAAATAGGAACAAATTTTAAAAATAAAGTAAGCTTTACTTATATTTTGCTTTCCTTTTTTTTGGTATAGAAATAAACACAAAATATAACATTATTAAGCTTATTAATATGCTATTCAAATACTGTTTAAAAAATATTTTCCATTGTTAGGCCCTTTTTAAGACCATTTCTTTCTATAATCGCGAATATTTTAGAAATATGTCTTGCAACATTTCCCAACTTCTTCACAGCATTTTGTGATCTGCGACCTCTATTAAGAAGCCCGACTCTTGAATACCCTGAGCCCACCGTTCTCCCCACGACACTACTTCAACAATAATGTAATTATGCCTATGACAGCTCTATATATGATAAAGTGGAGCGATTTTGATAATACAGCAAATTATTGTGAAGAAAAAGAAAAACATATTATTGATCCCAAATTCTAGTACATTATCTTTATAAACAATCAAGTTTTTGGTACTAAACTTGATTTCTCCAGTGTTCGTCAGACTTTAAATGGTTTGTAAAAAATTTGCTCTGAATATGGATAATATATAAGTCTTGTATCTCAACACTTTCTACTGAGAATACCCTTTAACGATTTGTGACGGGCTTGCAAACGTACATCTCCATATGTATTTTCATTACATTTTTCAATTCCGGTAGCAAAAGAACCAGATCTGGCGGGAGAGTAAAGCCTACTTCGCAGCACTACTCAAGAAGCGGCGCAGCTGTCAACGAGCTTGAGGCGCACGCTTGTCTGCATGGAATATTGGACACTGGCACTATAAGCTATTGCTGATTCTCTGAGTCACTGAGAGTATATGTACAGTACATACATATATACATATATGGTCATGCATATAGCAATTGGGGCTGCATTTTGATTAGGCTTTGAGTGGTGCAAGCGATAAAAAAAAACAAACCATCTGAGGGTCTATGTACGAGCATGTACATGTATGTATGTGTGTGCATGTTCGTGCATGTGGTTGGTCATGGTTTCTATCGACACTTGCTCGGTAAAGTGTCATGCGGTCATCATAATAAGCCGCCTGGCCCATTGGCCGGCTAATTGCGCGACAGGTGGCAGCTGTCTCATTTGCATGGCAAACAAATACGAAAGTATTTTTAACTAAATCGAGCCGGCAACTTGCAAAAGCATGTTCACAAATAAATGCGAGTCAATTTATCTATATGGCTAACAAAAAAGTGAAGACTGAATACTATCCACAACATAGCCAATTGCTTCTACTTTAAGATTAGTTTCTTTTCCAACAAAATGCGAAATTCGATCAAATATATTAGTTTAAAGAACCCATTTATACAAATCAAATACAAGTAGTAATGTGGAAACAACATTCTTCAAAGAGGCGCAGAATAAATTTTTTGAGCTATTTTTAGAAAATAGCAAAGTTTTGTCTATAATTGTAGATTTTGAATTAAATCAAGTTCTTAAAATATTACAAAAAATGGGGTTTTCAAATATACCAATAGATATAAATAGTGTGCTATTTCTATAACGATAGCAGATTTTCGTCATCTCAGCAACTATATTCTGGAGGTCCAATTATTCTCCACTCTTATAATGAAAATGAAGCATTGATCTCTGTACATTTCATACTAAGTACTGCTTTAGTTATAAATGTCCACAATTTGCAGAGCTTTCTAGACTTTGGGTAAAGTTCCGTCAAACAAAATTGCCAAAAAGAAACCCACTCTACTTATGTACGTTTCAAAACCTGTGTGAGAGAATTGAGTGCCATTTCTATATCGGCAAATAGGGGGGACTTTTACAGCAATTTCTTTTGCTTTCATCTTCCTAAAATGGTGTTAATTACGCGGAGTGTTCACAGTACTCATAAAACATGCCTGCATGCTCTGCGGGCTTGAGTAGTACACTACATGATAGCTTTATACTTCTGCCACGCCCGCAATTAGCACGCCCCAAAACGGAAGCCGGCAAAACCAGCAACCACAACAACAACAATTTAGAACAGACAACGCAGACAACGAAGTTCAAATCAAATACAAAACGCTCCCACTGTTCGTCGACGGCTCCGCTGCTGCGGCTTCAGCTGCTGCTTCAGCTGCCCAATGAACTGGAAATCAAGCTCCGAACAAATTCGCCCATGAAGTTCGAGAGACTTTTTGTCAATGGGTCAGATAACAAAAACAAAACACAACACAACAGCAACGTTAATAAAAACTGAGCTGAACTCATCGCCGTATTTCAACGCCTCAGTAGTGACGACGCTTTAAGTACCACACCCCCAATGTCGACCCCCAAAAACAGAGGGGCTTAGCGACAGTTGGTCGACCAGCTGCGGCGCATGCGCCCAGCCCCGAACCAGAGGAGAAGATGAAACCGAATCAGAAGCCGAAACGGTCAATAAAAATGTTTAATGGGGGGAATGTTCGTTTGCGTTGATCGGCCAACATATTTCTAACTCTGTGTCCCTAATTCCTAAATACCAGCCACAGAATAATACTAAATTCGGCGCATGTTTTCAAGGCAGCCAAAATTGGCGTAACCCAGCCCCGATTGAGTGGAGGGAGAAGCTACAAAAAATATGAACGCAATATTATTGCACAGCTACACCCATTTAGCTATCAACATGTTATCGTTCTTACTTCCAGACCTCGCCAAATCCGACAAATAACCGAAAGAATAAGCTGCACAAAATTTTATAATTTATTTCAATAAATTAATTCTAAGTTGAAGGAGTTTCGTTCTTGATGAAAAACGTAGCGGAAGTCTCAAATATTGAGAAACCACAATTTATTATTCCCTCGAAAAAAAAGAAAGTTGGTAAGAGGGGTAGAATAAAAAGATCATTTCAAGGCAAATTATCATAAAAGCTTCACTTCCAAATGCACTGAATTGAGCGGGACGAGATTTCTTTAGAGAGAAAACTGTTCTTCACATGTCTACTCTATATTAAAATATATTATTATTATATATACTTAATATACGTAACATTATGCGAACACCCATTTATTATTGATATACCAGAAGAAAAAGCAAGAGAGAAGTGTGCCGTACCATAACTTATCTAAGCTATCCGGTTTTAAAATACCATTAAACAATTTATCTATGAAACATATTCACTTAAGATATTAATTGGCTATAACTTCATTGGGGCTGGTGGGATGGCACACAATACGTTGGCGGTCCATCGTAGTGGCTTTTAATTTCTCTATAGTACTTGTAAATACGTATTTAAAAAAAAAAAAAAGTTCAGTTCCGATTTATGGCAAACCAAAAGAATTTCCTCATCGATTAAACGCAATTATTTGCTAGCAGACGAATTATATTGATGAGTAATAGCCACGATTTCAGACCGAATCAGCTGGCAAGCTGTCAGCTTAGGATGCAATGAAGCGCGAAAATTTGTCTAATTGAATGCAATTAAGGAGCGCAATCGTCAATTGGCAATAACATCCAAAACAGTGAGCCAGTGACCGCAGCTGTGGCCAAGCGGAAAGCCTAGACAGTCGGCCGGCCAACTACTAATCTGACTTAGCCATGATGTCGTTTATCTTTTAACAAGTCTTGAGATTAAGGTCAGAAATGCATACTCGTATGAATTTCCTCAATAGCTGTGGTTGAGTCAATTTTTCGAAGAAATATCGCAATTAGCCAGCCACTAGGTACGAGCATGGATAGTGCGGATAGAGAGGTGGGATTATGGCCAAGATGTGGAAGAGAGGGTAGCACGTAAAACGCGCAATTTGCTGTTTGAAATATTTGTTAACCTTGCGACTAGTCGGTTGCTTATTTTGTTATTATTATTGTTGCTGTTGTTGTTATTGTTTCTGTTGCCGTTGCCGTTGCATGTGCCATTGCTTTTGGTGGTGGTGCTGGTGCTGGTGGTGGAAAATTAACGGACAACCTTGAGGCCCCCACATTTAATACGATTTTCAAAAGCAATTAACACACATGCAGTGACGGTGCACTGAAGCAGGACGATGGCTATATGGCTGCGATGACGTGGATGACGTGTTAAGTGCTCGACTCCAAGTAATACAATTTAGGTCAAGTGGGTCGCTCGCTAAGCCTTCGATGCATGCATGCAACCGTTTATGTGACACGGTGGATTGTTTCTGTTCTACTCACCTCAGCAAAATGGTCAATTGTAGGTCATGACCCAGACGCTCTAAGGCGGGCACGCCCTCAACACGCAGAATATTGATTTTCTCTCGCAGCGAACGGGACACTGTATTCTGGCCCTGGCGTTCGCGCAATATCTCCAGAATATTTGGTTGACGTAGAAATGCAATAACCTGCAAGAGAAACCAAGTGATTAAACATTAAATTGCAAAGATGTGATAAGATTATAAATAGTGGCGATGCAATAGGCCTAGCAGGGAGGTAGTAGTATAAAGACAAACTGAGTCGGCAGACTAGGATGATATAAGAACCAACATTATTTACCTACAGTAGTGATTAGCTATAATAGGCTGTAAACAAGAAACGAAAGAAAGCTCGTTAAAGGCATTTCGAAAGCATAGCATCAACTATATATGGATTTGTGATGAAAGGAGAAGTTTCTAAATAGAGGGAGAACACGTCTACATGGCTTCTCATCTGGATTGCATTTTAAGGAACTAATACTTTATAAAAAGGGAAGAAAGGAGAAGTTTAGAAGTCTTTTCATCTGCAAATAAAAAAAAAACAGCAGTAATAGAATGATTTCAAAGAACTAAAGCTGTATTAAAAGGAATCTAGCTTCAAGGATTTGTAACGAGGAAGATAATAGAAAACTATTTAGGGAGAAAAGCCATGTGTTTCTCATTTAGAAAAAAATATATGATATAAGGCTAGCTGGCAGCTACAACTTCTAAATGCTTATACTATTACTATAATAGCCGAATATATAACTCGAACTCAATCTAAGTTCCAGGGGTTTGCGGACAAGAGGTAACTAAATAGCTAACTACAGAGCGAAACCACGCCTCCCCAGCAGACATCATACCTTTCCACTGATCGCTTCTAATTAGATAAAGATTGTATAGTTTACCTTCTCGTTGTAGGCCACGGGTACTTCCTCGTAACCCGCAGCAGTGGCTCCGCCCACCGCCCCTGCACTTAGGCTTAATGCGCACGCAATGGCCGCTGCAGTGGTACAGTTGTGTGCAGCCTGACCGGCAACACTGCTGCGACTGCTCACACCACTGCTCGTTGGTCGCGGTGGTGGCAACGGCGGCACACCCGACAGTGAACCCAACGTGGACGACGCCCCCGACGACGACGAGGCTGAGGAATTGATGTGCCCGGCCGTTGCTGACAAGCAATTGCCATCGACTAGATCCGGATGACCGGATGATCCTGGATGTTGCATTGGCTGCTGTTGCTGCTGGAAGTATTGTTGCTGCTGACGATGACGCACCACCCGCGGACAATCTACAGGCAGTCGCGGATCCATGAACGATGTCTTGCGATGCTGATGATCGATGAAGAACTGCTTTCCCGACTGGTCCAACTTCGTCTCCCAGCACGAGGGCAGTTCTCGGCCCAACTGAGCAAAGGTATTGACCAGCGCCACCAGATCCTTGTTATATTGATAGCGTTGAAAGCACTGCGGATCGCGACGTATTCGAATAACCATGTGTTTGAGTGCCGCATTGCGATTATAAATGGCCAGTGCCGCCTCATTGGTGTGCAGAAGCGAATAGAAGTCCGGACGGCACAGCATTAGCACCGCCGGATGTATGGCTAGCGTTGTCTGCGAGGATTGGGTGCCGGATACACGAGCCGGCGAGCCGCCACCACCACCACCACTCAACGCATGTGGCATATTGTATCTCTGTGGATTGGCCACAGCGCTAATGGCTGTGTGCCCATTGCTTGACACCTCACCGGTAGCACCGCTGGCTGCACCACCCGCACCAGTTGGCAAGGACAACCGATTTTCATTGGTAATGGTGCGACGTATGGACTGATAGCGTCGATCCAGCTGCTGTCTATGGTGCTGTTCGCGTCCCGCGGGTCCTGAAATTTGGGTCGCACCATTACTGCCCGGCCGCTGCCATGAAGTGGTGCGTGTAGTATGATCGATGTAGAAAATACGTCCATGGCTATCCATGCGTGCTTCCCACGCAGGCGGCAACGGTGGCTCAGCATTTGTGGTGCTCATCAGAGACAGATCTGCGCCAGCAGCTGCAGCAGCAGCCGCCGCCGCTGCTGCGGCACTACGTTCGGGTATCGAGGGCAATCGTGTACTTGTTATATGAACCATATCGTTATCCTCAGCCACATGGTCGCCCGGCTCGGCACCTCCTGCACCACCGAGCTGCACAATGTCGGCAGTGCGTATATGTTGCTCTGCTGTCGCGCCGGTAGCGACAGCTGACGCACCAGCGCACGGCTGCTGCAGATAGTTGTACTCGAATTGACTAGAGTGCGGCTCAGCTGATGGGCCGCGCATAAAGTTCTCGGCAGAGTTGGCAGTGACGGCTTGGAGACGCGCATGGCGTCGGGCATGATGTGTGGGTGTGGGCGGGCAGATAAGACCAGCCCCGCCCATCGCGCTAGCGCCGATACCGCCGCCAACGCGCTTCAGCAGTCGTTGCTGTGGTCGCGCAGCATGGTAAGTGGGCGTCCCAGGTGGCACAGCCACTGCATCAGAAGAAGCAGCTCCAGGAGCACCACCACCGCCCACGCCACGGCCTCGCGTGGGTGAATGCTGGTCCGGACTGAGATTTAAATCTAGAGGTGAGGCACTGCGCGTCGAGCAACCGGACGGTGGACTGCGTTGCCGCTTCGGTGAGAGCAGAAGCCGTGGCGAAGAGCTGGCCGCTATTGTCTCCTCGGAAGCTACCGCCACCCCGCCTGCTCCTCCTTTACCATTGGAAAGTGCACGCGTTAACGGTCGATGTTGTCGCAAATACGGAAACTGGTGGGAGTTTCCAGAGCCTCCTGAGACAACTGCTGACGCAATGCCATTCGAAGCACACGCTTCATGGCCACCACCACTAATAGTTTCCTTCAGCGGAAACGTGGGAAACTCATAGCTCTCCGTGGCAGGCACCTTCTTCGTACTAATCGTATTAATGTAGCTATCCGGTCCGATTTTCTTTTTGATCAGAGGCTTAAAACGCATGGGCGGCGGCGTTCCCGCAGACATCGGCGGACTAGCCTCATTGCTGACCAGACGCAATGGCGAGTTATTATTGCTGCTGGTACAGCTGGCACTGCCACTGTAACTGTAGTCATCCAGACGCTCATCCGTATCCAAAATGTCGAACTTGAAGACATCGCCCTGCAGCTTGAAGTCACGGCCCATTGCTCGCGGCGGCCACGAGCGTTCCAATGGACGATGCTGTGGTTGGCGCAAATGCTTTTGGCGACGCTGGACGCCGGCGGCGTGTTGAGGTGTTGAATTGGTGGCCAGCACATGACCAGCTTGCAGGGCTACTGCTGCACCGAGCAAACTTTCAACGGCAGCCGCCTCCTCATCCTCTTCCTCAACGGTAAGCGTATCTGTGAGCGGCACTTCGTACACCATTTCAGCGGGTACTGTTTCAAAGCATTCACGTGCTACCCATAAATTAAAGGTATCTGGTCCACTGCCAGTCCCAGTTCCCATCACAGTGCCAGAGCTACTTCCACTGGCAGAAAATGCGGCATTGGTTGTGGGCGATTTTAGATTCGTTGTGGCCACAGGCTGTATGGTTTTGATTTTCTTCTTGGCACCGCTCAACGGCGTTGAACCACCACTCTGTGGCGACAATGTCCATGATTTTCGACGAGCGCCGCCGCCCACACTGCTGCTCCCATCGCTGCCGATGCTGCCATTGTAGGAATTTGTAGGCGAGAGTGTCGACGTTGCAGGCGTCTCACACGATTTGGTCGAGAGCAGCGTTTGGTGACGCTGCTTTGTCTCCAACTGCAACTGTTGCTGCTGCTCCAGCTGCGTTTGAGGTTGAGATTGAGGTTGCTGCGTGTTCTGGGCAGCACTGTCAGAGGCAAGTAAAGGCGTTTCGTTGATTTTATTCAAGTCTTTTAGAGCTGCAATAGATTTACGTAAGTGATGTGTTGGCATTGGATGTTCTAGTTTGTTACTCACTTTTGTTGCGTTTCCTACGCATCACGACGGATGCACTCGCATCACCATCTTCTTCCCCATCCCCATTACCATGGTCATTTGCCTTAGTTTCTACAGCTAATTGGGCGAATTCGTTTGGTGTCACATTTGGTGGCAGTGCGCAGGCACCCATGGCGTCCAGCTCTTGCAAATCCTCCGTGCTCTTATGCTGATGCTGTTCAACCATGCTGCTCAGCTCTGGCTCAATGTTGACATTGACTCTGACGTCATTCGCCAATGTCAGCGCACTTTGGAATGCCAATTCCAGTTCATCGCCCTCCGTTCCATTTCTAGCCTCATAAAAAGCTTCCTTGCCATCATTGTCATCATCGTCATCTTCATCGTCGTCGTCTCCATCATCGTTATCCGCATCGGCACCGCCGACGCGACGCATCGCAGTCTTTGTCACCGCTATTTGGTTGTTGTGCTCCAAATCCGTATTTGCAGTCTCAGTACCAAAACAGCCGACGCCCGTGATCGCAACTGCTGCCGAAGTTTCCATACCTGCTCTGGCACCGCACCACCACCACCCCGCACACACTTTTGTTACACCAACAACGATGGCTACTGACTGCTCTACTTTTGATTTATAGATTTTTTGTTTTTCGCATAATTTTGAACCGTTACTTTTGCTGGGATTCGACTCTAGCTAATGCTAGTCTTTGACTTTTTGGAGCTTGCTACTTTTTTCTCTTCATTTTGCACATCTGTATTCGCATTGAGTTAATTAGTAATTCAGTCAAATTAAAGAAATATAAACGCGATGCGTATAATTATGACGCTAACGCTGGCGTTGCTGCTGCTGCTAGCTGCGCTGCCTCAGCTATTTTGTTGTATTTGTTGTAGCACAACAGCTGACAACGATTGTAGTTATCGATTGTGCATGTGAGTCCGATTTCATTATAATTATTTTTATTCGTTCTGTTTGCAATCGAATTATCGCGCTGTTAGAACCGCTACCGCCGCGTTGGAGCACTCAGGCTCACACTCTCAAATTCCAAGCAACGTATTGGCACTGTGTATCATTTCAACAACAATAGTAATATTTATTAAATTAAAGCATGGCCGCAGCAACTGGTGAACTGTCCAAAAAGTGAGTAATTGCCACATATCCAACTGGCAATGCAATTTGGCCAACCAGGCGCACGTGTGAGGTTAAGTTGAAACGCAAGTTGGGGAATAACGCGTATAAATCTAAAAACTGATAAAACAAAAGAATGTGTGCTGACGACACACTGCAATTCTACTTGGGACTGACGAAATTATAAAGATAATTGCAGCCACACGCACAAATATAAGTTGCAAAATGTTGTCACGTTGCAAATGGAGCATGTTGCAGCGACTACAACATGTGTCCGCACGCCTGATCATGATGCAACTGCAAGCGACTGCTCCGAGTTTCCACATGAGAAGCCACCATGTGGGTGTCGTGCAGCAGGCGCCTAGCAAAAGAACCAAGCTGTGTGTGTCTCTCATTTGATATTCATGCCAAGTTGATGTTCAATTTTGTTGTACTTTCCAGTGAACTCAAGCGCCGCTTGAAAGCCGAACAAAAGGCCAAGGAGAAGGCGGAAAAAGAGGCAACACGCACCGCCAACGCAATTGTAGCAGGCGATGCCGCTGGCGGCGGCAAGAAGAAATCCTCTGCAGCCGAGGAAGAAGAAATCTCACCAAATGAGTACTTCAAGTTGCGTTCTGCTGCTGTGGCAGAGTTAAAGAAAACACCAGAAACACATCCGTATCCACATAAATTCCATGTTAGCATCTCACTGGAGAACTTCATAGCTCAATACACGGACCTGAAGGATGGAGAGACTCTGGAGAATGTCAATCTTAGTCTAGCGGGTCGTGTGCATGCCATTCGTGAATCCGGCGCCAAATTGATATTTTACGATCTGCGTGGCGAGGGCGTCAAGCTGCAGGTCATGGCCAGTGCCAAGTCGTATAAAAGTGAGGCTGCCTTTGAGGTGGACACAGCAAAGTTGCGCCGCGGAGACATCATTGGCGTCAGTGGAAGTCCCGGCAAGACTAAAAAAGGCGAGCTGTCCATTATGCCAAAAGAAATCAAGCTCTTGTCGCCATGTCTTCACATGCTGCCGCATTTGCACTTCGGGCTCAAAGACAAGGAAACGCGCTATCGCCAACGCTATCTTGATTTGATACTCAACAACAAGGTCCGCGAGACCTTCCAGATACGCGCTAAGGTATGTCATGGCTTTTATTTATCGGGTCAACTCATCATTTACTGTGAATATTTATTTTGTCATTCTGTCTTCTCCCTCCCTTTCTCTCTTTCTATCTCCTTCTAACTCTCTTGTTTGTATGTATCGTTCTACAGATTATTTCGTATATACGTCAGTTCTTCGATCGTTTGGGCTTTTTGGAAATCGAAACGCCTATGATGAATATGATAGCTGGCGGAGCAACAGCCAAGCCCTTTGTTACGCATCACAACGAGCTTAAGATGGACTTATATATGCGCATTGCACCCGAGTTGTATCACAAAATGCTCGTGGTTGGTGGTCTGGATCGTGTTTATGAGATTGGTCGCCAATTCCGCAATGAAGGCATTGATCTGACGCATAACCCGGAGTTTACGACTTGTGAATTCTATATGGCGTATGCGGATTATCATGACATAATTGAAATAACCGAGCAATTGGTTTCGGGTATGGTGAAGACCATACATGGCTCCTATAAAATCAAATATCATCCTGATGGCCCCGAGGGTGTTGAGCACGAGCTGGACTTTACGCCGCCCTTTAAACGTGTCTCGATGGTTGAGACCCTAGAGCAGAAACTTAATGTGAAATTCCCTCCAGCAGATACCTTCAATAGCCGCGAGACCAATGAGTTCCTCTCCCAGCTGTGCGCCAAGCACCAAGTTGAATGCCCAGCTCCGCGTACAACTGCACGTCTATTGGACAAATTGGTGGGCGAGTTCATTGAGGAGACGTGCATTAATCCTACATTCATTTGTGAGCATCCACAAATTATGTCGCCTCTGGCCAAGTATCATCGCAGTGTGCCGGGCCTGACGGAGCGGTTCGAGCTGTTTGTGGCTAAGAAAGAGATCTGCAATGCCTACACCGAATTGAATGATCCCGTTGTGCAGCGCGAACGTTTTGAGCAGCAGGCCAGCGATAAGGCTGCCGGGGATGATGAGGCTCAAATGGTGGATGAGAATTTCTGTACGGCACTGGAGTACGGACTGCCGCCAACTGGTGGCTGGGGCATGGGTATCGATAGGTTAACCATGTTCCTTACAGACTCTAATAACATTAAGGTAAGATCTGCTGAGCCGCGTCACTCCATTTGTCCCAAATATGAACTTTAAATCCTTTTTTCCACATTTTACTTTGCAGGAAGTCTTACTGTTTCCTGCCATGAAGCCCGAGGAAGCCAACCGTAGCAATCCAGCCGAGACGACGCAGGCCACAAATTAGATGGTATTTATGACATGCGGCATTTAGTGGACCATGCCGACTTACTTTATGCCTAGTTTATAAATGTGAAGTCGTTTAATTTTGACACACCATGTTGCAAACCCAAAACAAAACATTACGAAATGAAAAACTCAATTAAATTATTCACTGCATAATATGTATGTATCCAAGTTCTTGCTTATACATATGGTTGTACTTATTTCCTCTATTAAAAATTGCGCTTAATTCTATTATTGATTTATTCAATAAATTATACAAAGCATGATTGGTTAGAAACTCCCGGGTGATATGCGAATATAAAAAGGAAATTAAAAGGTAACTTGCGAAAATGAAACCTGATGCATGCAAGCAATTACAAATGTATCTTTGTATATGCGTATACTACATATTATTAACTATTTGTCCTCACCGTCTGTAGATAGAGAGCCGAGAATTAGACACAAATGTTTCCATAATAATAATTCTCTGCAGATCAACAAAATAATAAATGAAAATATATACTAAATCTTGAACTTAATTTAAAGTATTTAACAAATCAATAACTGAATTTCTTGCAAGGAGGACAATTCACAATTTATATTCATTTACACACACATGCATATGTGATATATACCTTTCTAGTTAGTTGGAGTAATAAACTTAAATAGTCTAGCATGATTATACTCGTGTACATTTTCCACTTAACCTCTAGTGTTGATATATTTAATACATTTATCCAACAACTGATATAGTAATAACTAAACTGCTTGATAAAAAAAAAATGCGATAAGGATTCCTCGATAAGGAATAAAAATATATAATTACAATTCATTCAAGTTTTCTCCATGAAGGTATAAATGTAAAAACAATAATGATGGGCGTAAAATATAATTTTGTTTACAATTTCAAGACCTTCGAGCGCGCGTTGGCTCTAAAATAATTCATAATCGGTAACTAAACTAAAATCTTCTCCAGCTATGCATGGCCAGCGGTCGTTTTTGTTGAGCCCAGTTAAGAGGATGGCGCACATATTGTTTTATGTGCAAGGGCAGCGGGCTTTAATAATCAGGTTCGTCAACGGGCCGCTTGTAGACACGGCCCTTCTTGTGCATATATTGGTTGATAAAATCGTAGGACTTATGCTTCACAGATTCCGTACAGGCCAGATTATTGCCTGTGACATCGCAATACCGCATCTCTTTTGTGGTAATATGATGGCTTAGCTTTGGGATACGAAAGAAATAATGTAAAACGCTAGAGTGTCGTCCATTTAACGAAATCACTTTGGTGATATTTTCTAAATCAACTTGTGATTAAAGCTCTTGAAAAAATCTTAGCTTATAAACAAAAGGGTAACTATTTCCGCAATATAAAAACTTTTGTGAATTTAGAACATTTTTTCCACAAAATTGGCCAAATTAAATAGGTTTTGATGAAAAGTAAATAATGTTTATGCTTCTCTCAATAATTTGCAATTCCCATAACTCTTTTTGAAAATTATTTACAAACATAAATAAATAAATAATAATAATGGACTTACGCGTTTAATTAGGAATTTGTAATCCTCTTCGCAGGTTATGCGTCCAACATGGCAGCTCTCTTTGCGATAGGGACGTAAAAATTCCGCCACATGGGCGCTAATCTCACTTCGGAACTTGTCACTCACTCCGCGAGTAATGGCGGTAGTCGAAATGCTAAAGAAAGCAAGGAGACGGATTGGTGTTTTAATTTGAGTTTTCGCAGATGAGGATAAGGACTTACTTCTTGCGCCGTTTTTCCAAACGATGTCGTTTGTATTCCGGCAACGGGGGCATGGGCAGCAAGAGTTTGCGTTTTGCTGGAGTGGTGGTGCTTGAGATCGTGGCAGCCAGAGCATAATTCGCATCAAGGACACTCTTCACCTCCGTAGTTGACATTGTTGGTGGTTTCTTGGCCAGGCTAGCTAGAGCGGCCAAAGCTGATTTGCTGGTGCTGGGTTCCAGGCTCAACGGGGGCATCGGTAGAGCAAGGCGTCCATGGCGTCGACTATTCAATGCATCCAACTCATCAACGATCTTGTCGCCCTCGACAATTACATCGATGAGTGGCAATGTTGAGATATTTGCACCGCAAGTATCCGCGTCTGCCACCTCCGTTTCTTCGTCGGAGGAGAACAGATACCCCTGAATTGGCAGTGGGCCACGAGCACCGGTTGAGTCTGGGGCTGGAGCATCTGTCTGAGCTGTCGCCGCTTCAGTGCGACGACGTCGGTACACTTCCTTACGGCGACGTATCTTTTCCTTATTCTCTTTATACTTTCGTGATTCGATCTGGTTATAAATGCGATCCTCATCGCGACGTGGGCTTATGACGCAGACAGAGACGAGGCGGCTCCGCCGTATTTCGCGACGCTCCCGAATCTTGCCCTCTATATACTCTGTCAGCGATTTGGGACTGAGACTACCCACATGTTCCAAGTCTATATTCACCAGCAGTTTCTCCACATCCCAAGGCAGATAATCGGCAGAGGCTTCATTCGTTGGACTTGGCGCCAACGTCTGCATCCTTTGCTGAACACTCGGCGGCTCCCACTGAGAGATGCGCTCACGCAAATTATAATAATAGATGTTCCCCTCGGCAGTAACGCTCCAGTGCCAAGATGGGGGCAGCGGTTCCACTGAAGCAGGCAACTTATAGTCGGCAACATCCGTTGAGCCCGATGGCTCGTCATAGGCCACATCTTTCTCAACGCCTGTGCCACAGCGCGACGGTGCCGGTACTTGGACGTCGTCGCTGTTGAACCACTCGTCCGTCGAAGTGATGTGATAAAATGGCAACAGCTTTGGATCTGTGGTCAGCTCGGCACCAAAGTATTCACAACGCACTTCGTGCTCACGCCAATCCTCGCTCGAGACACGTTTTTCGGCCTCATCTTGGGCAACCTGTAGCGAAACGAAGCAAATAATTGTATGGATATAGTGTATGGGTTTTCGTGTTTTGTAAAAAGTAGCCATTCATTCCGATCGCAAATATCAAATGAGAAAAATCATTGATAATCAAATATTAATTAACTCCATTTAATAGAGCTCCTGAAACTTTAAAGATCGTAATTCCCAACTCGTATTCCCTATTGCAGGAAGAATATCTCATTACTAACAGCATGGAAAGCTTCAAAACCCTGTCGTAGAGGGACATACTTGTACATGAATACAAAACAATAACGACGCTGAAACAAAACCATCTACTTGTATAACTCTCTCAGTTCTAAGCGTATAATTGTTTATCGCATTGCAGTGATCGTAGGAATTATTAGCTTTTAAGTAGAAATTTATAAAATTAAGATAAGTCAGTCACATTATAAACTAGTCTTTAGATTTGAAAGATTTTGAGAACCGAAGAAATATTGATCCCGAAAATATGCCTTAATATCTAAATCTGATATTTAATTAATATTGAAGAATTCAATTCGGATTTTTCGTCTATATTATTCAACTTTTTTGTCGGTTTTCTAGTTCGTTTAACTTACCTTGCGCTCAAACATCTCACGCCGCAGTTCCTTGGATATAGTTTTGGGTCGTTCGGATGAGCTGATTTCAGAGCGGCGACGTGCTTCGCCTTTGTAGGCACTGCCACCATTTCCATTGCCGGACAAATTCGAGCTATTGGGCGTATTGCGTCCATCTTTGGACTGCGTAGTAATGGTGCAGATGGTGTTATTGCCGCTCATCAGGGTAGTCTTGGGCTTCACATAACGGCTGGAGGTGTCCCGCCTGAAGCGATCCTGCCGATAACGATCGCTGCTACTCAACGCCGAAGCATTGCTGCTCTCCTCCAGGGCTGTAGCTGCGTATTGGCGGTCAGCTTCACGTTCATGCTCCTTCATTTGTTCGAAACGCTCCCGTTTGGGTATGCGGAAGATTTCAGGAAGAGCGTCCCACTTTTGCAGAAGCGTTAGCGAGCGGAGCTGCACCAATTCCATAGATAAAATGTGTATGCAGGAGGGTGACGCGGTCGATGTGGGTGACGAAGCGGCAGTGGAGGGCTGTGATGACGGTGTAAGAGCGGCGTCGGCGGAGGCTTCAGTCGGTTTTTCCAACAAGGTGCTCCACGTTTTAACGCTCTGATACACTCGACTCTCGTTCAACATGGTTTTATTTGGTATGGGCAGACTCTCTAGGGCATCCAGCAGGGCCTGGAGCATCTCTTGCTCGTTGCCGTTTTCATTCATCCAGGCATGCAGCAATCGCAAGCCGTGATAGTCCAGGAAGAGACGTCGACAGGGCATTTCACCGCGAGTCAGTATACCCAGCAGTTGGATGCGGGTCCGTGGCAGCTTGGCGCGCACCATGCAACGCGAGAAACGTAATGTGTCAACTTGATTCTTTAAGCCGCAGCGACTGAGAACTGAAAGTTCCTCCAGAACATCGGGATCTTCAAGTGTGGCGCGGAACTTGACTTTGGAAGGTTTGCGAGCGGACTTCTCGCCGCTGGGGCGCAACCAGCGTCCCGCCTTGTATTCACGATCCTTGACCTTCGGCTGCTGTTCCTTGCGCTGTTTACGTGTAGCCAGTTTACCACTTAATCTAGCCTTGGACTTAGCTGTATCCTTGAGCTGCTTACGTCCGCTGAGCGATTTACGGCGCGCACTTGAATCATCATTGCTCTCTAGCTCAACCGCCTCGGCTCCCTCCTCGTATTCCTCTTCGCTCTCGCTCTCACCTAATTGCTCGCCCTCATCGGAGTCGGGTTCACCACCAATCCAGCCTCGGCAATTGGCTGCCTCGCAATAGCAACGTTGAGCATCTCGTCCATAGCGCTGATACTGATAGTCAAAGGTAATCTCTTCGCCAGGCATAATGGTCTTGCGACTGAAAAAGCCGATACGCAGCTCCCCATTTACAGTCCATTTCTGGGTCTCAGCGTTTGGATCACAGGAGTGATTGATGTAACGAGAGATATTCCCTTTGGCTGTCGCATCGATGATCGCCTCGCCACGCAATGCCATGAAGTAGTAGTGGCGGTTTTTGTCCTTTGAATAGCGGTATTGGCGACGCTCAAACTCCTCGCTATCGATCACCTCCCCCACATACTCCATGACAAACTCCCCAGGTGGTATTTGCAGCTCCGCCGTAATGCCGCAACCTTTCTTTTCGGTGCGAAAGACGCGACAGGGCCAGCATTGACGTTTCTGGAAGCGCTTATTTGTGCATCGATCCCCATTGGTGCACAGCGGCCCGCACTCGATCATGAGCATACGATTAATGCAGCCCGCTCCACAGCAAAGATGGCCCTGAGCTTCCTCATCTCCGGTGAGAAAGCAGTCACACTGCATCTCAGCATTCTCCTGACTCACCTGACGAGCACACTGATAAAAGTTTTCCCGAATCATCTTGAACGTATTGAGACCTTCATTGCGCAAAAAGGCTTCGTTGATGGCTTCGATGTGGGCCAACTCTGTTAGCTGATCCTCCATGGATATCGCTGGCTGCACTGCTTCTCCATCATCACCAGTGCATATACGATCTGTATCTCGTACAACACCGCGACCGACACTCGCCTTTGGACCCTGAGGCTTCTGCTTGATGCGATGGGAGCGACGGACCCCACTATTGCCTACAGGCAAGTCCTCCGAATTGCTAGGCATTGGTGAGGGTGAGGGCGAAGGTGCTGGCGTCGGTTCTGGTGTAATGGCGGGCGTCTCCATCTGGGCCACACGCTTCTCGAACTCCAAAGTCATGGAGTCGGAATTATTAACATCTGTCTTGGGCGATGACGAAGCAGATATTGTGGACACCACATTATTAACATCATCATCATCGTCCAGCTTGTAATCGCGTTTCAACAGATTCACACCGTCCTCTATAAATTTGGCAATATCCTTGAGAGGGTCGGGTGCCTCCAGCTCGGGTGAAGTGCCTGTAGTAGCCGGGGAAGAGGGTGCCGGTGTATGTATGGCGCTGGTGTCCAGGAAGCGTGGCATTTTACTAGAGGATGATGTGGATTCCGAGGATTCGGTCTCTATTAGCGCTAGTTGGAGTGCATCATTCGCTTTTCGCTTGCGCATTGGCTTGCTTTGCTGCTTGAAGGCAGATTGCGAGGCCGAGGAGGTTGAATCTAAAGAGTCCTGTCGAAGCAGGTAATTAGGTGCCTTCTTTCTCTTCTTCTTGGAAACACCAAGGCTGCTTTTGTTGGTCTTATCCAATTTTTGGGGTTCGTCAACTGTTTTTTGCTTGTGAGTCTCAGTACTATCAACAACTTGTTCAGAGGGCATTGGCGAGGATGTTGAAGATCGAGGAGTGGATGTTGGCGATGGACTGACCTTGGGATGCACAGAATTCCGACGCTTCATTAACGCATTGCTGCCGGCGTTTTCCATTGCTATGCGCTCCTCAAACATGGTATTTCTTCGCGATGTTGCCATGAGCTTGATCGGCTTTTTGTTATTGCTCCGACCACCAGGACGCTTGGCTACTCCGGTTTCGGAGGGACAAGGCGTGGACACGCGACTCGAGTCGGAACTGGCTCCGCGCGATGGCGGTGGACTTCCGCTTATCTTATCCAATTGAAAATCAGCCTTAGAATTGCCATCGATAATATCGGCACAACTCCCAATATCTGTAGATTTGACTCCACTGCCTGGTACTTTGCTATCCGGCTTTTTGGCCTCCTGCTTCAGTTTCTTTTTGCTCTTCTCTCCGAGACGAATCTGAGCCGAAGCCTTGTCCATGGCTTTAAAAAGTGCATCGCATTCAAAAAAGGTCACAGGCCGCTGCTGTTTGGCTCCACTCCCCGGGGGCGATTCTTTTTGTGTTGGGAGCTGCTTCGTTTGCTGCTGCACCGGAAGATCAGTGATAACATCTAATGCTTGTGTCTGCAGCACTTCGCTTTGCATCCCGGTAGAAACGGAAGGAAAGTCGAAAGACAATTCGCTCTGTAAAATGCCTTCGTTAGAAACCGTAGGGGAATCACTCGTACTGGGATCATATTTTGATCCGGCAAGGTGTTTTTTCCCCTGCTGCTTCTGCTGCAGTGTGGAATCAGTCGGAACACCTGCAGATGTTTCCTGAAGTGGTTTAATTTCTTGCAGCTCATTATTTGTCACGCAGGTATCGTTGAAGTCACTGGTGGATGAAAGGCTCATCACATCCGAAACGACAATTTCTTTAACCTTTGAAGATGCTTCATCTTTCTGTGCTTGCGTTTCTGTCTTTTCCTGCTGATGGAGAGAATCAATGGGAGTATCCAGTGCTGTTTTCTGCATTGCCTCGGGTCGCTTTAGCTCTGTATGAGCATTCGGCGAGCTCTCAGCATTAGAATCTTGCTTTGGCAGACTAATTTCGTAGGAAGCCGTTGAGGCTGGCAGTACATTATTGCTTTCCGTAACGTTTGAAGAATATTTCTCGGTGGAAGCTTCTTTTTGTTGTTCAGGCTGATTTTTATTTTGTTGCGGAGGAGACTCAGTTAATACATCTGTAGTTGATTTCTTTATATTTTCTCCCTTTGGAACACAGGTGACTGTTGCAGCTGAAAGTCCTATTTTTTCTCTAGCACTTGAAAGAGATCCACTTCCAATATGGCATTCTTTTTGTGCATGGAACACTTCCTTTTGCTGTCGATACGGAGAACTATGGGGGATATCTTGTGTAGGTGTCTGCACTGTCTTGGTTTGCTCCGGCTTTGTAGCGGTGGTAAGGGAATCTTCTTTTTCGTAGACGTGTTTTGAGACTGTAATGTTTTTATCTGTAGATTTTGAATTTTCACTGCCGCTCAGAGCATCTTTATGTGCTTGGGGCTGATTCATTTGCTGAGAACTGTCGGCACGAATATCTGATGTTGGTGTTCCCAAAATGTTGGCTATTATAAGCTGTGACGCAATTGGAGTAATTTCATTTTTATTAATAATTTTCTTAAACGGTTGGCTTTCGCAGGAAACTGCAGGTGGTTGGACGCTCTTCATGCCTGGAGTGCTTCCTATATTTTTTTGAGGGTTCTTATCGTCACTGGAGGATTCGCCTGGGACTTGAGACCCTTTCTTTTCTACATTATCAACCACCTTTGGCGGAGTGGCTTCGGCAGCATTGCTTTCAGTAGACTTTAATAAGAAACCACACTCACTGGCAGCCGTCTTTTGTGCCATTTTCTGCTGCTGCAGCGGAGCATCAATCGGAATATCTGATGTTGGTGGCTGAATTACTTCGGTTGGATTTATCTCTTCACTTTGCACAGGACTCTCGCAGAATTCTTTTACTTTTGAAGAGGGTGTAGAAGTACTGGGAGTCTCGCTTAGTGCTGGCGTCGGCTGCTGTTGTCGTTGCTGCTCACTCATGTCTTCTGAGATAGTTGATGTCAGCCACGCAATAAAATCTTCCTCTTTGTTAACCTCCTTGTTCTTGTGCTGCGTCGAATTACTCGAAAGTTGGTCTGTCTTCTCTACTTGGTTTGGTATCTGCTTTGACAGTTTCACCACATATTGTTGCTCTTTGGAGAGATATATTGTTTGATTTTCTACTTTTGTAAGCACTCCAAAATCTCCCATTTCTGGTCGGCTATTGCTGAGTATTTCAGTCGCTTCCAGCTTTATTTGCTCGCTACTCTTTGCGGCTATCTCAGCAAATGTCTCCTCCAGCGTCATTTTTTTGAGTGTTCCTTGGCTGGCGACAGCATTGTCGCTGGGTCGTCCACCTGCTCGCTGACTACGTCGTTTGGCACCTGGTGACGAATGTTGAGTACTTCCGCTCTCCTGCCTCGGCCCCCGATCAAGGAACTTATCCATTAAATACTTTATTGCTTGAGCCTCTGGTCTTAGTTTATCGGATCTCTGCTCTAAAAATTCCTGAAAGTCTGTCAAATCTTCCGATGCATCCGATGACTGGTCAGTTTCCCGAACCTTCTCCTTTGGTGCTTGTTTCTCTCGGGTTGGCTCGATCTCCACAAATATTATCTGAGAGTCTGAGTTGCTCTCCGGCAGCACATCCACATCCAAATCCCCTGTCCCCGTTTTTATTTCCGTCGTCGCCTGGGGCGTCTCTTGCGCCAAATTAACATCCAAAGCGTTTTCATCCTGCACGGCCAACAGCAGCTGCTCTTTCTTTGCATTCTCGCCGGCAGCCGCTGATTTTGTTCGCCGATTTCTCGGCCCTGACAAGGACGATGACGAATTGGATACATCTACAACAGTTACCGAGGGAGATAGACTTATAGAGTCCGAGTCGGAGGAGGAGGTATGCGCACTCATATCCTTTATTCTTTTCACCTTCACGCGCAATTTGTGTCTGCTGTTCGGCTGGCCTTCAGAGAACTCGGAGCTTCCGTTGGAAGTGCATGTCGAGGTAGTATCGGAGTCTGAGTAACTAAAACTTCGTGCTTCTGGAGACCCTATAGTTTCAGATTTAATCGACGCTGCTGCTGCTACTGCTACCTCTACTAATGGGGTCGAGGGTGATTCTGTTGCCCTCTTCTTGGGTTCCGTCTGAATGTTGGCAGACAGCTTCTTGCGCGGACGTCCGCGTTTGCGTGCTCCTAGTGGGATCCCTGAAGCCGCAAATGCTATCGGCGCCATCAAATGGGGACTTAATAAGTTCAAGAAAGTGGTGGAATGCACTTGCTTTTCCTTCTCCTCTGTGCTGCTCACCTGCGCCACAATTAGGCTTTGTGTTGCTTTAGGCTTCGCAAATAATTCCAGCGCATGCACTGGCATTGGAGGCGTGACTGGCACCAGAGGTGTCGGTTTCTTTCCAGTTTCGAACATGGAGAAGCGGCGATTCCCAGTTGCTGCTCCTGTTGCCGGCGTTGTTGCTGGTATTGCTGCGGGTGTTGTTGCTGTTGCCGTCTTCGCTATTGCCGGCGGCGCATTGGAATCTATGCGGGCTTCTATTTGTATTTTATGTTGCTTGCGATTTTTGTTAAGCAAATCACGTACATCGAACTTGATGATCTTTTTACGGGAACTTCGCCGACATTCGCTCAGCGTTGGCGAGGGATCTAGAGTGCGTGTAATATCCAAATCGGCGCCGACGCTGCAACTACCCCCACTAGCATCATCCGTAGTTAAGGCTGCCTTACTTGTTGTTGCTACCGGTGCCTCAGCCGGCTGGGACTGTGCGCTGGTCTTGCGTGGTCGGCCGACTCGCTTACGCGGTACCACTGCCACAACCGCAGCATTCAAGTTTGATATTGGAGAATCGTCCATGGCAGTGACATTGACTGTTTGACAAAACGATTACATACAAATGTATGTATGACTGACTCTTTGAAAATTCAATACTGTTTGACTTACCAATCAATTGGCTAAGCTCACCATCTGTCAAATCAATCCTGCACTATTAAAAACAACCCGCCGCATTGATGCTAAATAACTGAAATAATCAAGGCTGAGTTGATTTAATAAAATAAAGTTTCGGCATATCACAGGCAAACTCACATTTTCACTAACAGTTAGCCATAGCCTAAATAACTGTAATCTGACTCTCCCCAACACACACATACACATCCTTACATAAATCTTGCAATTTGTTTATGCACTTCCATCCATGTTTTAATTAGCTACATAAGTATGCACGTATAAATGGCTTATGTATAAGCCAAATATGCACAATAATAATTAAAACCCAAGCTGGCAATGCTGCACTATATATTGTTGGTATTTTCCAGTATTTCGAAATCACATGTTTTCGTTCCGAATATAAATCGCTGGTGTGAGTGTATATCGATTACTGGCGCGCAGTTTGTAGCTGTCGCCGTTGTGAATGAGAAAATGCCTCCCAAGCGCGCCAGGAAAGCGGCTTCCAAGCCGGTAAATCGTCATGCTATAGCAATAACTGATGACGGAAATTATTTGTTATGTCATGTATTATAGGTTGCGACGCCACAGCCAGTTGAGCTTAACCAGGGTAAGCCAGTGCTTTACATAGAACATTGCCGATCCTGACGCGTTTTTCGTCGCCGTGCCGAGGAGCTGCACGCTGCTTTGCAAACTCGCCTCAATCTCGATGGCGAGCATCCAGTGCAGCTGCAGTTGCTGCTTAATGGCGACGGAACACCAAAACGTGGCGCCTTCGAAATATCCATTTCCACACAACCCACAATTGATGCTAAAGATCGTCGTGCTCTTTGGTCCGGCTTGAAGCGCACGCCGCGTGCACAAAAATTCCCGTCAGTCGATGCGATTTATGAGCAGATTGTCGAGGTACTTGCAGCAACCGAAAAATCCTCCACGACAAATGTGGAGCAGGCTGCCTCAAACACATCCTCAACCTCAAGCACGTCCTCCCCCCCTTCCAAGCCGACCAAGCGCCGTCGTTTGGATGCGGCCGACAAATAAATAGAAAATACAAGTATATCAGATGCCATGTCCCAAAAATGCCGAAGTAGCGCCTGATGAACAGTGAGTAGCCAAGCCCCACAAGGACCTGCTCATTGTGATGAACTTTTTGCCTATGCCGGCACTTGAAAGCCATTGGCTATATCTATTTTCTTAAATTTGTTTTGTTTCATATCCAAATATCAAGCACACACAATTGTTTTTCAAATATTATTTAAAATATAACATATGTATGTATGTATGCCTTACAACTGTAAAACTGTTTCGACTAGAACTAAGCTGATGAAAAATCAAACAGAAAAACATACCGAATACAATGCTGAAGAAACGATTCAATACCAATATTTATCTGAATTTAATATTGTGGTGGTCCCACGGCCAATATTTCTCACACCGATCGCCTATGACAGCTATTGATATAATGAGCGAGCTGATTTAAATTTTCTGGATAAACTAAACGACAAAATACCTACATAATTTAATAAAAAAAGAAAATATATATATATATATATATATATATATATATATATATATATATATATATATATATATATATATATATATGTACATACATATATTAGTTCTATCCCCATTATGATTTGTGTGCAATCAGACCGATTGATCCTATTGGCTATGTACACTTTGCATGCATTGAGTATGTTAAAATCTTTTATTAAAAGTGGCTTAAAACCTCAAAATGTTACATTTAATGGAACTATCTTAAGAAATGAAAAGTGCACGTTAAGATTAATTCATTTTAAAATTCATTGATGGATATACATATTTACATATACTCGTATATGATATGACCACCCGACATGTGATTAATTTGCAAAAGAGTTAGGCTATCTATACTGACTAGTTCTTAAACTACAACCTTTTCTTGCGGCAATCGGACTTCGAATATAGGACCACAGTTCGTACTTCGTACGCTTTTTCGGGGTATCAATGAAGGCAGCTCATTCATTCTTATTGATAGATTCTCATCGTCATGTCTAAGTATATACTATATGTACACAAATACAAACATGTTTGTATTTTATATATAAGTTGGTATTTGTTTCTTTTTATATCCAAAACATGGATACTCTGCTGCTTTTTCAAAAAAAAAGATAGAAAAAGAAAAACTAGTAGCCTCATAAGTGTTTCGACCCTTAAACATAAACCTTACCAAAGTAAAATTGCCAGACTAAGTATAAGATATAAACGACGTTTTTATCTAAATTGTGTTTGTCTTTGATTTGATTTCAAAAAATTTACACAGTTTGCTCGAACAAAAGTTGATATTGTTGAAATTATTACACGCCAGTCAAAATCTGCTGCCTGGAGCCAAACAGAGTACAAGTGTAGGGATAATTCGAAACAAAACAGATAACAGATGCAATTCTGTACATTTTGTGTATTTTTGTGTTATCGTAGAGATTTCCGATTGACTCCAAATCAGCAGAAATGGGCGATGGGCCTTCCTGTTTTATTTGATTTAAGTAGAAAGTTAAATCAATGTATTGCATATTTCAGACACTCATCAAATCAGGCACTCTCTCAGGCACACGCACGCACGCACACACACTCTTATATGTATATAAAGAAATACATTCAGCATTATAATATTTTTTATCAACAATCAATTGGCTATGGGATCGGGAACATACAATTAGAGAACTCTGTTTTACGTTTGCGTAGCATGGCAAACAAATTCTCAATAGAATTTGAGGCCAAAATATGTGTGGGATTGTTGAAGTTGACAATGTTCAGGATATTCATCAAATTTTTGATCATTCGTTGGGGTATTTAAATTGAAATCAAAAGTTTAAGGTAATTCGTTTCCAAATTTATCAATCAACAACATTATGGGATGGTTCTGGTTTGGTTGTATGGGATTGTTGTGAGAGCTTTCGTTGTAGCCTTTTTCTAGCGCGTTCCTGCGCAGTTAAGGAACAAATAAACTAAGTCTTAATCACTAACTAACTAAGATTACGTTTTGCCAAAGAAAATCACCATTGAAACAATGTAACTAACATTTACGTGTCGAGTGAAAGTAGGTGATAATAAAAAAAGGCGCCGCCGCCTGCGTCATCCATTCATCATCTTCACTATCCGCCATTTATGTTCTGTGCGGAAATATTCATCTACATCTGAAGTACACGACGTTCCTTTGCAGCCGTTGCCATCGCCTTGCGTTACAGATATTTCCGATAATTACGCAGATGCGCATTGCCATCCTCGACGCCCACATTGACCCCCACTGCTGCGGCAGCACTCTCAAAGGAGGGCGGTTCATTAACAAGTCCGGGACTGTGCGGTCCACATGTGGCAGTCGTTGTCCCGCCACCACTACCGCTGCCACCGCCACTGCCGCCAATTCCACCAGCCACGCAGGAACTTGAAGCGCCTTTGGCCCGCCGTCGACCACGAGTTCCAGCGCCGCGCGAGCGTCGACCCCCACTCGAGGTCGGCGTGCCCGTTATGTCACCGGATTCGATGGCCTCCAGTGAGGCATCGAGCGCTGCATCGGTGGTGGTCACTCGTGTGCGTGGAACTCCGCTCCGACGTCGCCCACTAGTGCTGCTGGAGCCACCGCAGGAGTCACCGCCTGTTAGGGTTGTCGCTCTCTTGCCCGGTCGACGCTTGCGTCGTTTCTTATTGCCGTAACGCGGATCATAGTCGTATTCATCGTCCGCTGGCGATTTCGGATCCTCCAGCGAGTCCACATCGTTCATGTCCATATCATCATAAAACCATTCCTTAGGCAGTTCATCCTTAGACTGGTGTGGTTGTTGTTGCTGCTGGTGTGGTTGCTGCTGTTGTTGTTGCTGTTGAGTTTGCAATTGACTATCTTTGCTATCTGATGTATCACCACCAGCAGCGCCCAAGGACGAGGACTCTTCCAATGAGAAGGCGCCATTGAAGTCATGTGTCGCATCATTGTGCAGCACCACAGGCGATGCAGTCCCTCCACCAGTAAGCATGCTGTGGCCTATGGCCGTTGTATTACTGGCCATGGGCAGCCCCAAATTGCTGCCGCCTATGCCACTGGCTACCAGAGCCTCGTGCTCCTTACGAAGCGCCTGAAAGGGGCGCTCGGGAAACCTGCTGCGATTGATTCGATATGTCAATTGGGATTTCTATATTACGACCACGTAACCAAGAAAAGCTCACCTGTACATTTTAGTCAAGTACTGTCGACGACTCTTGCGCCAACGCGCCGCGGGATAAGTGTAGATTTGGCCCTGACGAAAGCCCGGCATTCGTTGTCGCTTATCCATGAACAACTGTGAGTGGCTTTGGGCTACACCTGTTTGGGGATCGAGAAACGGAAGTCGGAGCCGTCGCTCAATGCAGAGCCGAGTGTTGAAATTGGCGCTATATTCGATAGTCTCCCTGTAACTAACATCCTTGAAGAAGCTCTCGATCTTGGCCAGATTGGGCATTGACACGATTTGTATGTTCACCGCCGATGACATGACTGATAACTGTCTCTCCTAATCTTCGTTCAGTCCACGTCGTCGTCGTTGTCGCTATTTGCTATAAGCCCGCTCTGAACGACCGATACCCTCTAATCCATTTAATGGAACAATGAGAGCTGCTGTCGCCGCTTCCGCTGACTGCGAGTTTTGTATTTTGTTTCTTATCTCTATTCGCTTATTCCGTTTCAGTTTCGGTGTTTTTTCCTGCTTCTCGATATTCGTTTTTCACTGATACGCTTTCACTCCGGTTCGACGTTGGTGCGTTTTTATTTATGCCCAAGCACCGGACTTGTTGTAGTGCGGAATGGGGATGTCAATTAACTAAAATCGGCTTTTCATATGTATTATTTACGTTTTCCCAAATATGTCTAAAGCACCATAGAAATATAGGTGGTCTTCTTCTTACTTTCCCCCTAGTGTGACCGCTTAGAAAGAAAGCGGTGAAATTCAGTGTTATGGTAAGAAGAAAAAATACCAGAATTGCCTTTGTAGGGCATTGTTACACTTATCGATTTAAATGCGTATCGATATCATCATAGCTCGCCACACTCTAATCGACGCAAATTTCAAATCGGCATTTGTCAGTTTTAATTGAGCAATCAGCTGATTTTACACTCCAATTTATTGCACAAAAAAACTTGCTTACAAGTTTCGCAATCTTTTTTGCATTTGGACTGAAACCCAGCGCTACTTTATAGAAAATATAATCAAATGCAGTGCCGAAAAATACTATACTTGCCTTCATGTGGCCTCGCTGTTCTTATCGTTGCGAGTGCGTATGATGATAGCTCGCTACATTCTAATCGGCGCGAATTTCAATTCAACTTTTGTAGATTTTAAAATGTGGTTCGCAAAATTAATTATTCGTTTGATAGTGAAATTGCAATTAATTGCACAAAAACGCGCATATTTTGACAGCCTGCATCACACTCTGACTGCCTTAGTGGGGCAAGGTCGATCGTAACAAATCTGAACGCGTGTATCTGTGTGTACATACATACATATGTATGTACGTCTGCATCTGTGTGCGTAAGCATGTCCAAGTGCAAAGGTAACAGTTCAGTTTCAATTCATTTAGTTGAACGTAAGTTGTCAAGCTGCACAAACGTAAATCCGCAGGTGCAGTTGTAACATATGTATGTACATACAAAGGTGTTTGTTGATTCTTGTGTCGAGCTTTTGGCAACGTGAATTTCCACCACTCGGCTGATAGGAAATATACAACAAGAAGAAAACAATAACACAGAGTTAGATGCCAGCAAAAGTAAATAAATGTGTTTGTTTTCATTTTTCTCATGTTTTGCGCACTATTTTCGGTGTATTTTTGTCATTGTGTGTGTGTTGAGTGCTAAAGAAAAGTAAAAGTGTTTATAATGGACTTGTTGTTGCGAGTTTGATTGGCGTCGTTTCTGCTGCTACTGTTGATGTTCGCTCGCACCCCCTCCCCTCTCCTCCCTTCCCATCCGCTCTCACAATACAATTTCAATTGGAGTGGAGCATGCGCGCTATTCGTTCGCCTTCTGTAAATGTCAAAGTTGAACTTAGGCTCCTACTGCTTCCTTTACCTTTACTCTGGCGGATACCGATAACATCCTCTCCTGCCTCTTTACAACAAAAACTAACAACGAACTGCAAAACTAAACAAACTCAATGTTTAATTTTGTTGCTGTTACATACATACATACATACATATATACATACATACTTGTACATATGTATGTATATAGTTCATGAACACTCAAAGGCAAAAACTTGTGGGTAAATGGCGGGAAAGCATCCCTCCCCCATTCTAGTTAGCTTGGTTAACATTTTAATAAGCTTTTAGTTTCGCTCCAGTGATTTGGCGACATCGGTATAATTCGGTTTATTTTAATTTTTTTCTCGTGTGCCACTTACGTTTTGCATAAACGCTGCACTCACTTCTAGGCAGATGGCTCTGTCTGAGCCTCCTGCCTGATGGTCCACAGTGACGGCCTTTACGTCAATCAGCATCAACAGCATCAGCAGTAGATGGAGTCAGGAGCATAGGACCCCATTTGCTCTCACGTTACACAGAGGCGGCGTTAGGGGGCATAATCGTAATAAACCTCACATAAGTACTAAGGCATGTCAAAGCTCATTTCCATGTTTGTCACATTTTATATGAAACAAGAGAGAACGCTACAGTCGAGCAAGCCCGACAGTAAAATAGCCTGTACTCTCCACAAAAAGAAAAAAAAAAGAATAAAAAAAAAACAAAAAAAAATTGCACACGGACACATAAGCACTAACTGGATGTAACTACCAAAATTGATTTCAAAATTCCAAGAATTACGGAAGTTATGAAAAAAACACGAATTGCGGGGGAGTGGGGGTGTATCAAAATAAAAAAACAAACTTGACTTGCCTAGAGCTCAGGGGAACCTGGATACCAAGTTTGGTCATTCCAGCTCTTGTATCTTCTGAGATCCTTGCGCTCATACAGACGGACATGGCTATGAGTCGATATAGCCATGTCCGTAGCTTGTCACCCTGATCCAGAATATATTTACTTTGTGGCGTCTGTCACGCCTCCTTCTCCCTGTTACATACATTCGCACAAAACTGGTATAGCCTTTCACCCTTTGGGTACAGGCTATAAAAAATTATAATAAATATTTTATTTGGATTTTCACCATTATATCAAAGCTCAAATTATTATATAGACCAAAAGCTAACTAAAATGGGGTTACTATAGCGTACAAGTGCCATAAAAAGGTCGAAAATATAAATTCTTGTTTGTTTTTTGTTTATTTAATGTATGTATGTCCATTAACCTTGAGATGTATTTATACATGATTTAGGTATAGTGTCCGTCGACTATATGTACATAGTATGTATGTAATTATTCATTATTTTGTGCTTCCACATCTTAAAACTTAGACAAGAGAGAATGCTACAGTCGAGCAAGCCGTCAGTGAAATACCCTGTATAGGTCGCCGAGTAGCAGCAGCAATAAGAACAAAAAGAGCGAACCCCCCTCCTGCAGTTTGTGGGCATACTTGTAGTAATGGAGTGAAAGTGTTTCTTAGAATTGACAGATTCTAATGAAACAAAATCAGAGCATTATTCCGTGTGTAAAGTTCGGCTTATGTAGCTTTGGAGTTTGCAGTACTGATTGAAAACAAAAACAAATAAAATAACCTCGTGTTGCCTTGGAATAAATATCGTACTCTCATCAAGCTGATTTAGACCATTTATATCTATACTCCTTGTTACTAATATAGGGTATATTTATTATTTTCCACTTTGCTTCCACCTTTATTATAAATTTGCTATGTGCTTAAATGTTTAATTAATTTAAACAAATTTACCTGTCGTTTTTATACAGGTTTGTTATATTTAAAAAAATTAAAATTTAATTTTAAGCTAGGAATGTCTGTTTTTGCAAACAACAATGAATCCCCTTTCCTGTTGCACAAACTACATCGCTGCCCAATCTGAGAGCTTTTATCGTTCTCTCTCCCTGTTTGTCTCTCTGTGAGCTGTCGCTGTTTGGCGCCTCGGGCTGTTGGTGTTGCGTCGGGAACGGCAGCGACGCCAGCTTGTGGCGTCGTTTCATTTCGTTCAGTTTTGTATAAAAATTGGCCGCGATAGGGTCGCAGCGTCGCTCGCTTGCGCCAAAGTCTAGTGTTTTGCTCTGCGATTGCAAAAAAAAACTAGCAAGCAGAAGAAATAATAAAATAACATTCTTCACACGAAAAATTTGAGATATAAATCTCAAAATTAAGGAGGAATAGCGGGCTAACAATAAGCAGCCGTGAATGAAGCGTTTCACTTAGTTAATTTTTTTAATTGTGCGTGCAGCGTCTGCCTATGTATGTACATATATGTATGTGTGTGTGTGTAATAAACAAAACAAAAAACAACAGCATTCGGCCCAAGCTCTGGCTATTGAACAAAATGTGAGTTTAAAAAATTGTTGCTGTGTTCATCTTCTTCCCCCAGCGAAAAACTCGAGCTGCGCAAATTAGTAAGGATAATGGAAGAGTGTCTATGTATGCGTGTGTGGGCATGTGTGTGTGTGTGTGTGCGTAAATGCGTAGACTGCGCTGATGCTCCCAAGGTTTTTATAAAACAACAACCACAACAACAAACGGAAGGTTTATGCATTAGTGTGGATATGTATGTGTGCGTGCTGATAAGAATTTTTGGGCTGCAGCGTCGACGCTGACGTCGACGTCGTTTTTTATAGTCACGGCTAAACAGCTTCTAAATTTTGTTATACTCTGTACCCGAAGGGTTAAAGAGACTTACTAGAACGTCTTAGCGCCAAATGTACTTACATACATATGTGACAGAAGGAGGCGTGGCAGAACACATGTTGTAGACAGGTGCCTCCGTCCGTATGTCAGCGAGAACTTTTAAACCAAACTCGGCGTGTAGACGCTTCTCCTATCTCTGGGTCTGGGCCATTTTATTGTCAATCATAAAATAGTCCCAACTGTTTATGACGCAGCCATAAGGCCGATCGGTGGAAATAGCAGAGCAGAATAACTTTAAAGATATATTTAGAAACATAGTTTTTAAAACTGCTCCGCCAGAGGAATATTGTGATTATTTTAATGTTCCGCCATAATCTTAAATTGGCTCGCTAGATCATAAAGCTATTTTGTGACTGATTGCCAGTGAAAAAATATATGTACTATATCTGCTGACAGGCTGTGTCGGAGAAAGAGACGGGCGGGTCTAGGGTATGCGAGAGTCGGACTGGCGCGACTTAAAGTCTTACTCATTTTTTTGTCTTCGTCCGGATGACCGACCACCAGCCTAGACCACACACATACACAAACATGGTTGCGTGTTTGAGAGCGTACTTGATTTGGCGCTTTGGTGTTGCTGTTGTTCGTGCGCGGATTAAAGCCCAAAATACAGTTAAAAAGATTCGCTGTGGCCCCCAGGTGTAACATTGAAACGCTATTACATATGTATGTACGTACACTTGTGTTATGTGAGTGAATAGCGCTGATTTTTAACACGTTTTATTGTTGCTGTTTGTGTTGTTGTTGTTGTTAGCATTTGTAATTATTGTGAATTGCGCGGAGGCCATTAGCTCTCAAGCTTTTAGTCCGATGTCCATATTGATGTATGTACATATGTATATATGTATGTATGTTATGCGCGTTTGTGTACATATGGTGTTTGGGTGTGCAGATGGACCGGCCAGCTGCTTTGCCTCTTTTGTTGTTGTTTTGTTTCACACATGCTGCCATCTCATACATACATTTATAAATTATTAATAAACATAACGCGTTCCACAGGTGTGCCTGTGCCAGAGAGCACACGAGAGCTCTGTCCGTTTACGGCCCTTCTCAGTGATTCTCTGACTACCTCTTCTCCACCTCCCCTTACCCTCACCAGAACCTTCTTTTCTCTTTCTCCACGCAGCTGCTGGGCGGCGACGCGAAGCGAGTCGAGTCGAGACAATATTTTCATTTGTTTCCACTCGAATGCCTGCCTCACAGCACTTTTCACATTGACGTCGGCAGCAGCATTTATAACCATTTGCGTTTTGCCAATTACCGTTCCAATTTATTCATCAAGCAAACAAACCAAAGTGCCAGCTGTTTTATAGATGTTGTTGTTGTTGGTTTTGCCGTCGTTGCTGTCCAGCAAAATGACATGCGCTGACGTCGCAGCCGCTCCCGCTCCTGCAGTTCAGTTCAGGTTGTAAATTGCTTTTTATGCCCTACACCCGAAGGGTGAAAGTGTATTGTAAAATCGAAGGAGGCGTGGCAGACCCCATAATAGTAAAAAGAATAGCATAAGAAACTTTGTATGCAGGTTCTTCTAAGACGAGTTAACGTCATATTTTCGATGCACCCTTTCACTCCCCCTTCGCTAAAGACCTCTATTACTATATACATACCTCCGATATTTCGTGCCATTTCGATCTCAATACCAGATTTTGACAGATTTACAACTCAACTCCAAAAAAATTTTTTAGCCAGATATGTAATCGACTTCGAAAGGAATTCTATTTCCTATGTTCTAGGCACAATTTCTTCATTCAATAGTATTGAAATAAATTGGAAAAAATACACAAAATACTGAGCCAAATTGATTTCGGAGACGCTAACAAGTCGGATTAAATTAAAAGACTACTGACTTATGTATCTCTGATCCAAGGTATACAAGAGTCGAACTCGCGCGACTTTAACGTGCTACTCATTTTAATTCCCGGTAATAATAAAGTTTGTGTAAAATATGCAACAGGCGGAAGGAAACATCTCGCATCTTACGTAATTCTCTATCTCTACTTTAAATTGCATGCGCTGTAGTAAATTCTAAGAACAGCTATAAGCGAAACTTCTACTCATTGCATTGTTAGAGTATTTCACTGTAGGGCTTGCTCGACTGTAACATTCTTTTGTGTTTTTTTTCTGCAAATTGTCCGTTATGCGCCTCCTCCCCACCTGTCTGCCTCTCTCTCGCCCCCTCTCTCCAGCTTTTTCATTTGCGTGCTTTTTCTTTTATTTGCTTTATAATCGCATTATACAAGTGCATTTCATGGCGGTTCTTCTTCTTCTAGTTGCTGTTGTTGTTGTTGTAGCTGCGAGCTATGCAAAGTTTGCCGCTCGCATAACCACATTCAATAAAGGTTTTATACAGTGCCTGTCTATCATAAAAAGAGACAAAATTAAAAACGTCAACGCCACATTGTTGTTGGGCTGGTTGTTGCTGATGTGCACTTTGCACAGTGGGCTGTTACTGGGGCTGGAGGTTACCTATTGGGGTTATTGTTATTGGTTTGCTGCTTTGTTGCTCTCGTTAAGTAGCGAGGGGCGGGAGGTGTCTGTCAGTCAGTCAGTTGAATGACAGAATAATGGGCACGCGAACATCGATTACGCTGACTAATTGACGACCCATATACTACTTAGCTATGTATGTATGTGCATACCTATTATACGTATGTACATATGTATGTGCGCATATGTAAGAAGAAGACAATAAATCATATTAAACGTATTGCCATTGAAAGCAGTGGAAAGAGTAAGTTGGCGAATAAATTAGCAATAGTCGAATCATTGCTTCCAGAACATAAAGAAGAAGATTTAAGAAACTGCCTACGAAACGCTCAAGACCCTTAGTGTAGTACGGGAAAAAGCTGATCACACATAGATTTTACTAGTAATTGTTTTGAAATTTGAAAGTGTTTGTGTAAGCCAAGGGGGTTTAAGTGAGGAAGATAATGCGACGCTTTTGGGCTAATATAGACATCGAAAAGGGGAATTATAATATCGTACGCAATTTCAATATCAACCGACTTACATATATCACAAATGCTTAATCAGTTACTAAGATTAATCGGTCAAGTTAAATCGTCATGATTTTAAGATGAACATTATAAATAGAAAGCGAAATTTCGATAGTTCCATATTGGATGAAAATAATCTTCGATCTCGCTAATAGCGCAGCTGAAGAGACACGGGGTCAAGCAATCTATTCAAGTGCTCAAATGTAAATAGAGAAACTTTTAGCAATATCGATTCCAACGCACAAATCGATCAAATCTGGAAGCGGGAACTCTGGTGTAAAGACTTTTGTAGATGATGACAATGTTAGCAAAAGGTGAAATCTAGGACAAGGTGTGAAACTCCGAAAGACTATTGAGTTATGTATGTCGTTTGAAAAGTTTTTACTTTCATCTGCTATTCCACTACTAAGTGTTTTAAGGAACACTTTTAAACTTTTAGTAATTTCGATTCCGCTATTTACTTTTGAATTTTTAGTAATTTCGATTCCGCACAATTCAATTCGGAAATGGGAACTGGAACTTAAAACAATTACATTTTCGAGTATGCCAACAAACAACTGCAAATATTATTGCCATCATTATAATAAATTAGAACTTATCTATTATCATTCATCTGACGGATTGTTATCAATACCTAACATTTTTATAAACAGATAAACTAATTGTTTTTTGTTTAGGTATAACAGTATATCCATGAATAAAAGGCGTTGGATTAAGAGAAAACGTGTCGCCTTTTCCATATTCGATTAAATTGTGGGTATGTGCGATTTGTAAGCGTTTCTATATCCGAAAGCTTTTCAACCCAATTAAAATTCGCAATCGGGAACATACTCGTATGTATCTACATAGAAGAACACAGTTACTCGAAAATTAAACCCATATACTTGTATGCATATTTATGCATGTGTGTATCCTCGCACAAGTGCTACTCATCTACTCATAATTTGTGCGACACAAATCCTGTCAGCAACCTTAGCCCGGACGTTTCAATGGCCTTTGAATCACTCTGCCTGCCTCTGCTTGCTTGCCTGGCTGGCTGGCTTACTTAACTGAAATTTGTGTCAAAAACGTAATTATGTTTGTGGCTTATGTGGATATGCATGGCATACTACCTATGCATGCATACCACACTAATGCCCATAAATATACACACACTGAGGCCTGCTTTAGTGCCCCGACTCGTGTGTGGCACTTGTGGCAGCTTGTCAATTTTTTTCTTCATTCCACTGCTCTGTCCTCAATAATTATTGATTTCTGCTCTGGCTGTTGCTTATTATGCGGCACATACACAATTGTACACATGCTCGTATTTACACCCACAGGCAAGTGCGTATACATACATACACATATGTGTATGGTTTAGGGGAGGTGTGGTGGGGTGGTGGAGTGGTAGACGTGCAGAGGAGCTCAAAGCGACGTTGTTGGCTGCTTTGAATGCCATTAATTACATAAGTTCACTCGACTGTCGGCTATCCTACTTATCTATATCCGTCTTTGTCTCGGTTCTACGAACAATTTTGCCAAGCACGCGACACTCCAAAGCCCCTCGCCATGGTATAGTGGGGCCAGCATGCCTCTATCTGTATGCCTTGGCAGACGAAGGCTATAAAAGGGCGAGAGCTAAACACTTAAAAATAATATAATGCCGAGTATGTGCATAGAAGCAGGTTTCGTCAACCGGACGGACGGACGCATAAGTAATTTATCAAAGATAAAGATGATAAGATTAAAAAAGCTAACACGACACGCCGACGCGGCCGACAATTGAAATACGCCTACACGCATATCAGTGCAAAAACAACAACAGCAGCTACATACTCGTATATAGTACTATATATAGCTATAAACTGTATAGGCAGAGTTGGTGCCGGAAACTCTCCCGAGTCACGAGTTGACCTTTGTGGGGCTTGTGTGCGTAGTTCTGATTAAAGTGTCACACGCAGGTGAATTGACAGTGACCCGCTGACATTAGGGGCACCATTTGCCCCAAGTCCCCCTTTCAACCATTATCTCGTTAGGCAATACAACCGACATTTATCAAATGGCCGATGCGTGCAGTTTATACAGCTTGGCATTATTGTTCGATAGATATGCCAGATAAAGTTCAACCGTCAAAATGTTATTTGAAAAGGTTCCGATGCAACATTCGAAGCAGCCCCTTTGGTGGCTAGGATGTTAGAAATAGCTAAAAATATTAATAGAGCTCTATAGAGTATATACGCATTTACTTCTATATTTAAAACAATACAAAAAGGGATATTCTATTTATATTTCTATTATAATCGTACCGTGTAATACTTTAATGCTATTTTTACACAAAGGTGCTAAAATTACTAACGGATTATACAACTTAGCGACATCCTCCGCCAGAAACATAGAGTTTATTTATAAAAGGTTATTTAAAAACAAGAATAGAATGATGTGCGTATCTGTGTATAGGCAGTACAGAGTTGAGCGAAAGCAGCAACCACAACAACATCTGCTTGTCCCTTCTCAGACTTAGGAGCATCTGGATACAAAGTTGGGGTATTATAGCTCAGATACTTTCTGAGATCCTTGCTTTCATACAAACAGACAAGCGACCATTTCTGAATCAACTTACCTTGTCATACTGATCAATAATATATAAAGATAAAGAATACTTATGATGCACCTAATAGCCCCAAACTATACGCTTTTAACCTTTGCGGGGAACAGGATATAAAAAGGTTTTGATTCAACATTATACGTAACATAAATTTAAGTGCTCTCACATTAAAGACCTGACGGCGTTTCTGAACTCAGAAAAGAACTCCTAGTACTTATTCTTTAGGAAACAGACTCTTTTATAATCATCCAACAGTTGTTTTCTTATACTTATACATAGGCACTAACTGTAATATTAAGCTGGTGAAAATCAATAGGATAGGTAATGCGACTGAACTTGGAACAAGACATTGAAATTTGCTTTAAAGAGCTGGCAGCTTATCTCGATTGCGAGATAAAATATAGAACTGCCAAAATGAATGGACGTAATACGACAAATTATTCTACGGAGCTAAACAAATTTCGCTTTACGGAGCTACAAATTGTATTTTATATTTTTTGTCACCTCTACTTTTGTTCACATTTCTGAATATGTTTAAATGCAAGTCGGAAATTAATGTTGCTCCAGAAAATTACAAATGATAATATTTTAAGCCAGTATATTCCTTTAAAGAATGCTGGGAATTTGGGGCTTCTACGGAGCATCTGCCTTTTACATTCATTGCAGAATTATAAATATGTGTATTATAGTTTTATGTTTATACAACAACTTCAAGGGCTTCCAAAGGATCGTTCCCAGGATCAAAACGGTCGTTCAAAGCGCGATAAATCCTCTTAGCAGCCAATCAAACAGAAAATATTTGTGCGAACAAACTTAATCTAAAGTACACTCATCGATACATACACATGCCTGTACTTAAGAAACACATATACTATACATATGTATGTATGTACATACTTGTATGTGGGTGTCTGTGTGTGCAAAGGTCATATTAATAAACCTAAGAAATAAAAAAAATATGCGTTAGCGCCATCACCAGCCCACCCACAATCGCGCCGGCTCTCTCTTACCACTCGCTCTCTCCCCGCGGCCCCGCCTCCGTTCCCGCTCCCGTTCCCGTCTGCCGCTTCGCACTCTCATGCTCAGTCTTTAATCGTCTTTCTTGTTGTTGTTGCATTGTTGTCAGCAGTCAACAATAAATCCAATTAGCAAAACGGTTCAAGGTAACAGCAAAAAATTATGCACGATAAACCAAATTCGTTTCGTTTGTTCCGTTGTTTCGCGCTGCCATCATTGTTGTTGGTGTTGTTGTTGTCGGTCGCTCGCTCGCTCGCTTGTCCGTTGTCCGTCGTCGTCGTTGTTTCGTTGTGGTTGTTGTTGTTGTGGTCTTGGATAGCCCGCCCTAGCCGTATCGTTTTGAGTGATTGCATTTGTTGGCCTTTGTTGTTGCTCTGTCGTCTAATTGACAAAAGCGAGCATGCAGGCCAGGCCAGGCCAGGAGGACAGCCAAGAGGCCCCTTAAGTAAATTAAATCGACTCCGAACGCACGAATCAATAAATGACATACCGATTTACGTTTGCATTGAGCGCACTGCCAATTGGGGATATATATTTCAATTTCAATCTCGTTTTCCAAAATGGTGTGGTGTGGTGTGGTGTGGCGTCGTGTGGGCCATGAATCACACGGAAGCCATAGCAGGCCAGCTAGGGAAGCGACAACAAAAAACAGGTGACCAAAGCGGAAGCAGCGGTGTCAGCACAATTGTGGCTAACAAATATGCAGTATCATGAATCACAAAATCGAAAAGGCGTTTCAAGTCATTTCATATGAGAGAACCATTCTAGATAACTCCACTATCCTAAATATGCGAACTCTATCAAGCTTAAATCACTCCAATTTCTAAACCAATTCGCAGTCATTCTCCATTTTCTAATATAATTATTGCTTAACCAGCTGAAGTATTTAAATGCTAAAATGATTACAAATATGATACCTCTACAGAATTTTAAATAAATCGAGTCAAGCCAAAGCCTTCAATCACTGGAATTTCTAAACCAATTCTAATATAATTATTATTTAACCAACTGAAGTGCTGAGATACCAATATTTTTCTTAATATGCGAACTCTACGGAATTTGAAATAAATCGAATAAAGCTGAAGTCTTCAATCAATTGAATTTCTAAACCAATTTCAATATTATTATTGTAGTAGTAGTATTATTATGATGAAGTATTAAGATACTACTAATATGATGCTTAATATGTGAACTCAACGGAATTTGAAATAAATCGTCTCTTTAAACTTAATTGCTCTTGATTCGTCCTTAATTGTAATGGGATTCATTTTTTTTATACCTGTACCCATTGAAAAGAGATTAAATACAAGTATGTATTAGTGGAAGCTCTTACATAAGTATAAGTTATTAAGCAGTAATTTGTTGTACAATTTATGTACAGTTGTTTCTGAATAAAATCCCCATTAATGCCCCCTTGCGAGGATTTTTGTAGGCGTTTCGGTGGCCCAGTATTTCCGTCCGAATTAAATTCTTCAATTGCGCGCATTTATCTTTTAATAAAGTTGTGAAATTAACAAAAAAAAACAAAGCATACTTTCAGGTTGAAATATAACAAATCATTCAGCAAGGTTGCTTATATGGCAGAAAGTTGAGACAAATTTCAACAAAGCCAGATTGAAGCTTTATAGTACATCTATATCTAAGCTCTATTTTTAGCAAACTGTTGGCAGTGTGTGGGAATCTGCGTGTGATTCCAATAAAGTGCTCAACTACTTTTGATAAAAGAAGTGTTCAAACAAATTCTTTATGCAATTAACGTATTCGTAGAACCTGTATTTGTTTATTGCCTTCATTAGACATACTTGTATGTATGCATGTCATAGTATACAAGTATATACAAAGTATTAGCTTTCAGCCGACTCACGATATTTTCGGAAAATTTGCAACCTAAATGACGTTGGCAATTTTTTAGCAGCTATTAACACGTTCGTCTCTAATTGCAGGTCATAGACGTGCGTTGCGAACGCCAGCGACGCCATAGCCATGATCTCCAGCAGCAATCGATGAATGCCTAAGCATCAGTGAGAGCAGCAGCAGCAGCACCAACAGAAGAGCCGTGCCGAGGAAGCCAGGACACCAAAGACGCAGCCAAGGGATTTTCTGGGATATTCTGGGGCACTCAAAATGTTGATCAAGGAGTATCGCATTCCATTGCCGCTCACCGTAGAGGAGTATCGAATAGCACAGTTGTATATGATAGCGGTAAGCGATAAGAAAGGACTTGAGCGAAGATAAATTCTTATCACGCACACTTATCACTAACACAGAAAAAGAGCCGTGAGGAGAGCCATGGCGAGGGCAGCGGCGTCGAGATCATTATTAACGAGCCATATAAGGATGGACCCGGCGGCAACGGACAATACACAAAAAAGATTTATCATGTGGGCAGCCATTTGCCAGGCTGGATAAAGAGTATGTAGCTTGAGTGGTATGATAAGGAGGTATACGATCCGTTTCCCTATGCAATGCAGGTCTGTTGCCAAAGAGTGCGTTGACTGTGGAGGAGGAAGCCTGGAATGCCTATCCATACACACGCACACGCTACACTTGCCCCTTTGTGGAGAAATTCTCACTAGACATAGAGACCTATTACTACCCAGACAATGGCTACCAGGATAATGTGTTCCAGTTATCGGGCAGTGATTTGCGCAATCGTGTTGTGGGTGAGTCGACCAAATAAATAAGTCTCTGCCCAATCATAACATTCGCGTTTCACAGACGTAATTGATATTGTCAAGGATCAGTTGTGGGGCGGCGACTACGTCAAGGAGGAGGATCCGAAACTATTCGTCTCCGATAAAACAGGCCGTGGCCCGCTGGTCGATGATTGGATCGAGGAATATTGGCGTGAGGTCAAGGGCAAGAAGCAACCGACTGCCCGCAATATGTCTCTGATGACGGCCTACAAAATCTGTCGTGTTGAATTCCGGTATTGGGGCATGCAAACGAAACTGGAGAAGTTCATACACGATGTGGCGTTACGCAAGACGATGTTGCGCGCCCATAGACAAGCATGGGCCTGGCAGGACGAATGGCATGGCCTGACCATCGAAGATATACGCGAGCTGGAGCGTCAGACCCAATTGGCGTTGGCCAAAAAGATGGGTAGTGGTGAGGAGGGAAGCGATGGTAAGCCCTTTGGCTGGACTTCACGGGAGTCCACATTAAATATTTCTTCTGACTCTTCTGCCACAGCGGACAGCAACTCGGAACCGTATGTAAGTACGGCTGCCGCGACACCAGCATCGACGACAATGTCGGAGCGTAAAAAATCGGCAGCGGCCGTTCCACCCATTGTTACCCAACAGCCGCCCAGTGCCGAAGGCAGCTCTGACGAAGAGGAAGAAGACGAAGACGAACATGGCGATGAGTTGGGCGCCCAAAGCAATGCCCAGCGCTCCCGTTCGCAGAGCATACAAATGGCCAACAAGGCCAAGTTTGGCTCCAAGGGTGCACTCCACTCGCCCGTGGGTTCGGCCCACAGTTTTGATCTGCAAGTAAGCTTCGCTCACTTATCGTGTTTATATGTATTATTGTTGTCTTTGTGTCGGTCTGTCTGTTAGCTGTTCTGTCAAATGTGTCGTCCACTGTAGGACTCTTGTTGTTTACCTGTCTGTGAATTTTTGAAATGAGCGAAAAAATGTTCGCTATTCAATTTTGTTGTACGTTCTTGTCGTACTCTCTCGCGTCTTACAATAATGTTTGATTTCCTTTTGCAACACCCACTAAAACACTCGACACACACCAACCAACAACAACAACCACCACCACCGACCAATGAACGAACCATGAACCACCCAGCAAAAAAAGCCGCATGCCAAGAATGCACCGCGCCTAAATGTAAGTTCCGTTCACCCCCATATAGCGTAGGTCGCCAGACGTAGACAGAATTATCCAGTTTCCGATTTGGGATCCATCCTCACACCCACACACTCACAGACACTTTGCTTTGCTGTGCTTTCGCAGGTGGCCAATTGGCGAATGGAGCGTCTTGAGGTGGACTCCAAGTCCAATTCTGATGAGGAGTTCTTTGATTGCCTGGGTAAGTGTTAGAGAGCGACAACTTTCTTGGAGAGTTTGAAGTCCTTAAACCTCTCCTTCTAGACACCAACGAGACGAACTCTCTAGCCAAGTGGAGCTCACTGGAGCTACTGGGCGAAGGGGATGACAGTCCACCACCGCATGGCGGCCCTTCCAGTGGTGGGCGCGCCAAACAAGATGATAGCATTTTCAATCAGGACTTCCTAATGCGTGTGGCCTCCGAGCGTGGCAATAAGCGTCAGTTGCGCTCCTCGGCCAGCGTTGATCGCAGTCACGACTCCTCGCCGCCGGGCTCGCCAAGTACCCCCTCCTGTCCCACCACAATTCTGGTACTAGTCGTGCACGCAGGCAGCGTGCTTGATGCTGCCAGCGAATTGACCGCCAAAAAGTCAGATGTTACCACCTTTCGGGGCTCCTTTGAGGGTGTTATGCGTCAGCACTATCCCAGCCTGTTAACCCATGTCACCATCAAAATGGTGCCATGCCCCTCCATATGCACCGACGCCTTGGGCATACTGTCCAGTCTGAGTCCCTATTCATTCGATGCATCGCCCTCGGCGGATATACCCAATATTGCTGATGTGCCCATTGGGGCCATACCATTGTTGTCCGTGGCCTCGCCCGAGTTTCAGGAGACGGTGAACAAGACGGTGGCGGCGGCCAATATTGTGTACCATGAGTTCCTTAAGTCGGAGGAGGGTCACGGCTTCTCCGGCCAGATTGTTATGCTTGGCGATTCCATGGGCTCGCTGCTGGCCTATGAGGCGCTATGTCGGGCCAATGGCACCACGGCCGGCAGTAGTGGTGGTCAGTCGCATTTCGCTGGCGGTGTCGGCTCCTCAGCCAGCGGTGGCGGTGATGTCAACAGTCGCTCGTCACGTGCTGACGATGATGAACGCTTCATTGACTCAGATCTGGATGCGAAGCGTCTATTGGTGGCCCCATCACCACGTCGCCGTCGCTCTTCATCATCCAGCGATTCACGGGCCATCAAGTTGGACTTTGAGGTGTGCGATTTCTTTATGTTTGGCTCCCCGCTCTCGGTGGTGTTGGCTGCGCGTAAGCTGCACGATGCAAAGGCGGCGTTGGCTCGTCCCAACTGCCATCAGGTTTACAATCTGTTCCATCCTACCGATCCGATTGCTTCGCGTCTGGAGCCGCTGCTCAGTGCACGGTTCTCAATCTTGGCGCCGGTCAATGTGCCGCGCTATGCAAAATATCCGCTGGGCAATGGCCAGCCACTGCATTTATGTGAGTCCACCCCACAATCCCATCTGCCTATATTGGATCCATCTGAGTAATTTATTTGACTTACAGTGGAGGTCATACAGTCGCATCCGCAGCATTTCAACGATGGCAACAATCTGCTCGCTGGCCGTCGCCTTTCGGACGCATCCATGCAAAGTACAATCTCTGGCCTCATTGAGAATGTGTCGCTAAGTACTATACAGTCCCGTAAGTTGCTAGTCATATCCTTTCCAACTCCCTAGATTTCAATTCTTTCATAGCTTCGTTAATAATATCTCTCTCTCTCTCTCCCTCTCCTTTATAGTCCAAAGCAAGTGGTGGGGCACCAAACGACTCGACTATGCGCTCTATTGCCCCGAAGGTCTGAGCAATTTTCCCGCCCATGCCCTGCCGCATCTGTTTCATGCCAGCTACTGGGAGAGTCCCGATGTTATCGCCTTCATATTGCGCCAAATTGGCAAATTCGAGGGCATACCATTTGTGGGCTCCAACGACGACAAGGACGCCGCCTCGTTCCATCCGGGACAGCCGCGTGAGAAATGGATTAAGAAGCGAACTTCGGTCAAGTTAAAGAATGTAGCGGCCAATCATCGTGCAAACGATGTGATCGTACAGGAGGGACGTGAACAGCGTCTTAATGCTCGCTTCATGTATGGCCCCCTCGATATGATCACGCTGCATGGCGAGAAGGTGGACGTGCATATTATGAAGGATCCGCCGGCGGGCGAATGGACTTTCCTTAGCACCGAAGTAACAGACAAGAATGGACGCATCAGCTACAGCATACCCGATCATCTATCGCTGGGCTATGGCATCTATCCTGTAAAGATGGTGGTGCGTGGCGATCACACCTCGGTCGATTGTTACATGGCCGTTGTGCCACCACTCACAGAATGTGTGGTGTTCAGCATAGATGGTTCGTTTACTGCCTCCATGTCGGTGACCGGTCGTGATCCGAAGGTGCGTGCCGGCGCTGTGGATGTCTGCCGTCACTGGCAGGAACTTGGCTATCTGCTCATCTATATAACCGGCCGACCCGATATGCAACAACAGCGCGTCGTCTCTTGGCTGAGTCAGCACAACTTCCCACACGGTCTAATCTCTTTTGCCGATGGCCTTTCCACCGATCCGCTAGGCCACAAAACGGCTTATCTCAACAATCTTGTCCAGAATCATGGAATCTCAATTACCGCTGCCTATGGCAGCAGCAAGGATATTAGCGTCTACACTAATGTGGGCATGCGGCCAGAGCAGATCTTCATTGTGGGCAAGGTGAGAGCAGGACTAACAACTCTAAAGCTACGGTCAGACGTGCAAATAATTTGCACACAAATATTTGTTCATTTAAAAATGCGCTCTGAATAGTTATCTTTAGTGTTCTCTAATATTCATGACAATCTTGTGTGAATCGATCGAAATGTGTACAATTTGTTTGCTTGTCTGACTATTGTCTGGGCACACATGCAAATAATATGCACACAAATATGGTAACTAATATCAAAAGCTTATTGGTTTTAATAGAAGTCACATATTTGTTATTCATAGCTCGTTGGATAATTGTGCGTGCAAATTGTTTGCCAGTCGGACCATAGCTGCACTCAAAGCAAGCAGTTCGAAACTAGATTTAACCGTAAATTATAATTTGCAGGTCAGCAAGAAGCTGCAGTCCAATGCCACTGTCCTAAGCGAGGGCTATGCCGCTCACCTGGCCGGTCTGCAGGTCGTGGGCGGCTCTCGGCCGGCCAAGGGGAACGCTCGCATGGTGATACCACGCACGTGCTTCAATTTGCCCGGCCAGTCGGCCAATCCTAGGCGCCGAAGGTAGGTCATCCGACTGCATGTCCATGTCAATGTCTAGTCCATATCTATATGTATCTGTGTCTATGTGTGTTGTGTATCTATGGCCTTGTGCTCGCCCGCACGCTCGTCCTATTAACAAGTACCAACCAACCAGCAAACAAACAAACATACATACATATGTGTTAGTGTAAATAGGCAAATATTTGCATATATACATACATAAGTGCGTATATAGAATATACATACATACATAAACGTCGTCTGGTGTTTGTTCCTTATGTTCACATTTCTGTTTATGTTGACGCTTAAGTTTCTGTTTCTGTTTGTGTTTGTTTTCTGTTTGTGTCGTCTGCCCGATGCATCCCCATTCTGTGGTAGACGATAGACGAATTATGTAATACTCCTGTATATGTTGGCGTTGGATATCACTTTTTATAATCTATTTAGTTTTGTTGCGCCGCAGTCGTGTCAGGTTTCCGGTTTCAGGTGTCTGTGACTGTGACTCTGTACTCCCTAATGATCTGAATGTACACGTAATTCTAAACCCTGTCTGTCTGTCCTCTTACATAAATAATGTGTACCTCTCTATGATGTATGTAAGTCCTTGCACTCAAAATACCAAACTCCAATTTTCTGCGCACAGCAACGCCTTCGAACAGCACTTGATTAACACGCCCCCGTCCACGCCTGGCAGCCTAGGCCTACTGACCGAGGGCAAAGAATTGACCAGCGACGAGATCCTATGGGTCTGAGAGTATTTCTTTCGCCCCCAGAGTCTACCAAAAAAGGCTTATCACTGTTTTAGTTTCTATTTAATTTGGCAACATTTTATGCTTGTAAGTCATAAAAATTGTATTATTTTATTTATTTGTAGCGCCTTAATTCATTATTCGTATAATTAATGTATTGATTGATATTATTATGTACTGCGAACAAAGCCAAAAACAACAACAACAACTATATATCTATATATATAACTAAGTATATATGCAATAAAACTAATAGAAATGTATGCACCGTTATCGTTTTTATCGACCTAGGGCTTTATATAAACGAGCCAGTATACTTGTATTGAGATAATAATAATTATAGTTTTCGGGAGCTCTCTTGAAAATATCATTCAATTAAAACTGATTAATGGGAAATGAATTCAAGCTCTCAATAATAGTATACATATGTTTATTCGAAATTACACTCTTAGAGAGAAAAAGAGAGAGTGAGCTTCTTTATTTTGGTTAACACAATTAAGAAGCTAAAGCAACGCATCTTTGGTATGTCCCTCATTAGGGGGTGCCTGAGCACCTCTGCTAGATATTTATTTATGCTTTCGACTAAAATAGAGAAGTACGTAAAGTTTAGTTATTTATGCAATTAGATTTTAATGTTCTATTTTGTATCTTTTTTCCTTTTTTTATTTCGGCAACGTTTTTGAAACGACGCTTAATGCTTTCTCCCACACACGCCGCCCTCACTCTCACATTCGTACACACACACACACCCTGAAAACAATCACCGCACAACTCTCATCTTCTACATTGAAACTCCCTCCTCTGCAGGCTGCATGAACAAACGGCGAATTAAGTTTAAAAAGAAAAGCTGAAAAACTGTTCACAACAACAATCTCTCACACGATACTCACGAGTCACACACACACACTCTATTGCCGTCTCACTCACTTTGATGCCTGCGTTGCCGTTATGAGCAATGATACTCGTATTTATATGAAGAAAGATAGACGCAAAGAATTGGTGTTTATTGTTAAGTTAAATTTTTTCATTTACTGCATTGCCGTTACGTTTTAGCAAATTATTTTTATTGATCGGTGTTGTATGTTCGACCAAATCTGCAAAACCAAAACCAAACTAGTGCATAAAAACCAATTGAGATTATTCTACAACAAAAAGTTCATTACTCAATTCTCAAATCAACTCTGTCTCAACTTTAACTCTGTCTCTCTTTTTCTAAACATAAACCCGAACTTTTCTATAAACAAACAAAAAAACATTAAACACACACACACATTCAATCAATCAATCACTTACACACACACACACATTAATCTACACACGCTTGCAATCGACATGCGCAGCAATGAGACGGGACTGTCATCTCCGATACGCAGCGGCTATTTGAAGCGTAAGACCTATCTGAGCCACCACTAAAAAGATAAGAAGAGATCGGGGTCTTTCATCTCCTGAAAAACAAAATGGAACAATTGTGTGGAAGTGCGTGCAAGCCAACCCTCAAAAAATGAACAAAAGAAGGAAATAATGGACAAATGGAGGAATCAAATGAAAATGCGAATAAAAATAATGAAAAAGGAAGCTGCAGCAACAAAAGCAACTATACATGCATATGAAACACCACATACATACTAACATACGTATGTACATATGTATGATTAGTACATACTTATGTATGTATATGCTATATACCTACTCTACTATATGTTGCGTTGAATCAACATGTGCTGCGAATCTCCGTTATAACAGCAACCGTTCCGTTCGATATTCATATGTACATGCATAGATATATAGATAAAGCAGACCCACATAAGTATATAATGTATCTGTTATGTACATGTATGTAGATGATACACAAACGTCTCACACATACATATAAAAATGCAAACCAAATAAAAACCCCAACTATTTACATATATCTAGTGAGTGGATCAGCATCAGCATTAGTGCAGTCCAACATCAACAGCATTGATGATGCCACATACTACATCTGTATATACAAATATATTATGCGCGATATATAGAAAACTATATATGTACATATACATATAATAATAAAAACAAACAGACAGACAAACTTGTACAACATATAAGCAAAGTCAAATGTGTCACGCGGTGAGTAGAAATCACGATATACTTAGTATAATCAAAAATTCACGAACATCCATTGGGTATTCGGATTTAGATATATTCTACACCTCACTGAGGTGAAATCTATTCACCCTCTAAAAATGAGAAAAGTGCCAACATATTTGAATACCTAATATATACTTGTAAAATATATTATAATGTATTAAAGCATATATTGCAATTTTCTGCTTCACAGGTACCTGGAAAGAAAGACTGTTTCCTCCTGTTGTTTGATGGTTTTCCAAACCACATAAAGAAACAAAACTAAACAAAACAAAACAAACAAAAACAAAAAAGTGTATATCTATATATGTATGTAAACAGAAAGTATATAAAGCGTAAAATGTCTAACAGAATTCTATCTATATACAAACCATAAACATCTAAAACCGTTCAGCATATGAAAACGAACAAAGTTCAATAAAAAGTGTAACCACAAAGAAGGTACAACTAAAGAACAAGCTTAATATCTGTATAACATAAAAAATGATGGTAAAACGTTGCATTGATTTGTGAAACGAATGATGAACTGAAGTGATTATCTTATCCTTTATGCGCAACTGTACCTGAGTGCCGCGCATGCGTTGCAAAATCAAAGGCAAATTAAATGCATTTCTGAAACCAATTTAATGAATAAATAAATTAAAACGTAAACTAAACATAATAGTGAAGCGAGTGGAATTAAAAAAACCTAAACGGCTTCCGAAACATAAACATAAATTAGAGCTCTATTTCAGTGTGTGCGTTTATAAGTATTATAAAGTTCAAAACTTTTCCTAACAAAACAAACTTCACGACATCAATGAAGAAACTAAATTATTCAAAAAAGAAAACTCTAAAAAATTTTATAAATGTGATAGTCTTTCGCTACTAAAGATACAAATGAAACGAAAAAAGAACAAACTATAATAATAGGCCAATCAAATTGTTATATGCATGCATATTGGGGTTCAATTAAGAGAACAGAGCGCTGCAAACATTCGTTATTACCTTTGGAATCTGTCATCGTGTAATAAAATTCAAGTTTTGTTTGTTAAATCGTAGCATTTAGTGTAAGGTGATGACAGCAATCGAGTACGAGTATTAAACTATCAATATGCAAAAAAAGAGAATATATTTATGTGCTGAGAAACAAAAGTACCGAAAATATGAATATCAACTAGCCAGAACAGACCTGAGGAGCGGCTCATTTGTGATACACGAAATTGTGGCAGCAGAAATGTCAAATGAAAATACAGAGACACTATTCAGATATGCACAAGCTAGTCTTATACATACATATATATATTGCCCCAGATCAACAGAACCAAAAAGAGAAGTAACCCACATTTAGCGAAGCAAAGAACAGAACTCATTTCCGAGCGACCTCTAACGCCTTAAGCTTAAACTATTATTTTAAATAGCCAGTGTTCGAAAATGCTTTGGTACCTGTTCCTGGGCACGCAGTTTCCAGCACTATATAAAACGCTGCTTAGGCATTGCAACGGCACGTCCACAACTTCTCATTATTCTCAATCCAATCCTACAAAGACTTTCCCCATGGGAAGACTATCTATCTTTAAGTAAATAGCGAAGTTCAAGCACTTTTTGGTACCTCCATGAACAATCTGAAGTAAATGCATTACAAATTAAGCAAAAAGCAAACGAGGATTAAGTCTCTACGCCAGGCCAGTTAACTGAAATCTACATAAAATGTCCCTTTCAAAATAACATAAATAACGGTACAAAAGGAAAAAAGAAACAAAAAATGGACCCGCAGATAAATATTTATATACACATAAAAAATTAAATTAAATATTTAAAGATTGCGTTCGTTTACTACTCGTGTTGTAGTTAAGACTTGCTATACTGAGAAATCCTAAAAGCAAATTGAAGAGTTTAAAATGAAGAAACAAAGAAAACACACAACACACACATTTAAATATAGGCATACATACAAACGTGCATATATACATATATAAATATATACATATTATATTTATACATACGTACATACATATATTAACTAGAGAAACTGTAAGTTAAGAACCTCCTCCAAAGAGAAATTATTGATATTGATATTAGGCGAGTGAGGTGTTCCGAAAAGTCTTGCCCTGTGCATACGTTCCTCTTTTGAAGTAATAACTAACCTATACTAAACAAATATATGTAAACATATTGTTATATTCGGTGGGTGTTACGTAAGCCTTTCATGTGGATCACTGCTTTTTCCACTTCTAAGCCACATACATCGTTCATATGTGTGTAATAAATATACATACATACTTTGCATCGATCTGCCAACTATATGTACGTGTATGTAGAAATGTTTACGAATTTCCAAATTTGTCAGCTGCTGGCTGCCTGTCTTGTAGGATTCTATAGAGATTTTAGAAATATGGACCCATTTTTCTCTGGCTTCTGCTTGAACACATTCTTTTCATAGTCTTAAATATATACATACATATGTATGTACACATGTGGATAAATCCGCTCAATTTTGTTAAGAAGATATTTGGTTAGAAAGATTTAAATACATATATAGTTAGCATAATTGGTTCCTGAACAGTGCGAGTGGCAGTTGTTAGATTTGAATTCTCTTCTCTCTACTTTTTGTAATTCAAAAACAAAATATCAAAGTTGTGCATGTATATAGATATGTAGCTACTAGCTAATAAAAATTGTTCAAACACTCACTGACAACTCATAAACTAAATAAATAAACAATGAAATGAGTAATTCAACAACAAAGGAAATGCAGCGTATTGATATTTTAGCCCACCATTTAGCCCGGCATTTCAGCTACAGAAGAATACATACATACGTGTACATAGTGGCATATGTACGTATGTAAGTACGTAAACAAACATATGTACATACATGTGTATGTATGTAAACATGTACGTAGTTACTATATGCAAGTTTAGCGGCAGTGAAAACGAAATAAACAACTAAAGAGCGATATTAAAAACAAATGCATACATACATATGTACATACGCGCTAATCTTTAATAATTATGTACATATGTATGTATGTATTTACATATACATAAATAGCGTAATTAAGGTCAAAAGTCCAGCATTCAGCTATCAATAAATTGTTAGAGATTATAGGCATTGCAAAAACAGCATTAACAAATTGTTGAATTAGAGCAAAAAAATATTTATTGATACACATACATACATACATACGTACATGCATGCATACAAACAAAGAAACAAGCAAAAAAAGAGATGTGTTAAAATATTGTACAAATCATAGTAAGTCAATCTATTTACAAAAATAAACGGCAATGTACGTACATACATATGTAGCAGTTGAACGAACCGTTAGGAGACAAAACCGAGAGAGCATTTGAACAGAGAAAGCTACGAGCATAATACAGATATAGAAGGAGAGACAGAGGTATATATTTTCCCAAAGGCAACTTTTTGAAGAGCCCAGAGGACCCCCAAAGCATATGTACATATGCATATATACATATGTAGAAAAATTGTTTAAACCATACACACATGCTTGCATACTTGCATATACATACATACATATGTATGTATATGAGAAAATGCCCACGAGATTGCCTCAAAGGGGGCGTCAAAACATATTTTTCGATCTAAGCTGTTTGAAAATACGAAATATGAAACCAAATGTTCTATTTGATGTTACAAGCAAAAAGAAATAAATGAAAAAAAAATCAAACAAATTATTTTTCATTAAAGGGGGAGTCATTTCAACATCCGGGTATCCTGGGTAATTAAATGAATAATTTGGGGCGTAGAATTAGATAAAATTAAAAAAAAAAGTTGTAAAAAAATATGTATACAAAGGTAAGCTTTGCCTTTTTTTCACATTAATCCTTCGGAAACACTTTCGGAATTCAACTATATTTCCTATAACCAAGGGAGAATTTCTGCATACAATTGGTACTGAAATTAGTTTGAGGAAGTTTCCATTTTATACAAATTGGAAAACAAATTTCAATCGATTGAAACAAGAGACAAATTTTGAAAAGGATTTAGAGAATTTTGTATACTTACAGAACCAATTGGCAGAACTTAAGAGTTTCGATTTTAAACATTCAATGAATTGAAATTTTGTAATCCGTGAGGTAAAGCGGTCTTCAAAATTGAGGTGTATTTCGGAATATTTCGAGTACTTTATGCCATCGGAGATGTTTTCTTCTGCATTTTACATACTTTGCACAAAACTAACAAACTCTTTTCGGCCTCGGGTATAGGTTTTAAACCGATTATACGATAGACCTTTGGTCTGGGGGATTACTCCCGAGTATGGCCATTATGGTATGCCTTGTAGCGTATAATTGGATGTGTTTCAATGGACTTTCGTACATCAACTATGAGAAAATGAAGAATTTTCGTTAAATAGTGATTCAGAACAGACTCATAAAACTTACTTAAATATTAGCACAGACTTGTCAAATTGTGCGATAGGTCGGAATTCCTTACTTTTTGGTGGGACAGTATCATAAATGGTATGGTAAGTATATTCACGTTTATTTGCTAAATGTTTAGAAGTGTTTTCATACATTTTGTATGCGGTTGTTGTTTGTTTGTCACAAACGTGGAATTGTGTGGACATCAGTTTGCCACGGAAAGCTTTTGTTTACATTTAACGGCTTCTCCTTTTACATCTTTTTACAATTTCGGCAGACCCGCCGATATAGCGCTTTCAATACCGCAATGATCCTCACCGCGAAGAATGCGGAAGTAGCCATTCTCACCCCAGTCGGTGTTCCAGGAATTAGCAATTAGCCAGTAGGGGACTTTCTCGTTCCCCTGCTCCCAGACGCCCCAGCCTAGGATGCGAATGGCGTGGCCGCCCAACTCTTTGCCGGTCACATGCTGATAGACGCCGGTCTTGTACTGTATCAAGTCCTCGTAGACGGTGAACGCGCCCTCGACGGGTCCATTGGTCATGATCTCGCGCTGAATATCGCGTACGTTGCGACTGACAGAGTAGGCCTTCGACCCATAATGTTTATCAGCGTTATAGTCCACGTTATAGCCCGTCTCGCACTTGTGCTGGCAGCGTGGTGTCTTGCCATTGGAGCATGGTGGGCGAGTGCCATTCACATGATGCTCACAGGGTTCGATCTCGTAAGGACGACAGCCCTAAAAGGTTAAGGGTGGAAGTTGCGCATTATGGCGAAGCAGTAGCTGCCTTTGCATCAGACTTACCGTATTGGTGCCATAGGGGCCACCACTGACGATGCCCTTATGTGTCCAGTACCTCCAAGCGGCACCTGGGAAGCCACCATTGCAGCCAAAGCCGCAGGTGTGGCAACAGGAGACGAGATCATCGGCCGAGAAGTGAAAATTGACGCTTCCATTGGAATGTATGCACACCTAAAATAATAAATTACAGCTAAGTCATGAACAACAAAGACACACACACAATGGTAGTGGAAATTGCGCAGCTAGCGGAACACACACACATGTACATATGTATGTTTGTACATATAGCAAGCAATTGGCTATAAAATCGATAAGCGGTCAGCAGATAAACCCTGCCAGCCCCTTCTATCTACAAAATGGGACTTACACGATCGGACATTGCTTCCACAGCTCCGAATGCCCAACAGGATCCGCAGGATCCCTGATCCCGAATTTCTCCAATGGTGGGGCAATTGGGCCAGGCTTTGCGCGAATCGAACTCGACAGGCAGATCGGGTCCATCGCCACCAACCAGGTCATCCAAGCCCAGTACCTCGCGTTTGTCGGGCAGCGTAAATTTCGGCGCATCAGGATGCACACCCATTAAACGACGGATGTGCTCCTCCGATCTTGAGTCAAATTGGCGGTCAGCCTTCCATGTGGTACTCTTACTGTTCACCAGCTCTATAAATTCATCAGATAGGAAATGGGGATCTGCGGCGACAGTCGCCAGAGCCACGGCGGCTACCAAAGCCACTGTGGGTAGAAAATTTTTCATTTTACTGCAAACGTCACCAAAATGACGCACAATGCACAATAATGGCGCGGCAATCACGCGGCTGCCTTTATTTATTAATGCAAACTAAAGTGCTATTCTCGCAATTGCAGTCCAGCGACCAAGTGCAGTTATTAACGCCCTCCAACAACGGCAGCTTACGAAAATGAACTGTTTAATACGCGAATATGACAATCATGAGAGCGGGAAAAGTGTGTGCACACACATATATAAGTACAAATAGTGTACCAGTGCTGCCACATAAGCGCGGCACTGGGCAATGCTAAGCGGTGACACAAACCAAGTCCAATAACACCTTATATGTACATTTTTTATTGTTTATTTACTTGCTAATATCACTGGAAGAATACATTTAAACATACGGATTCCAATTGCTGCCATCTTCAGGCAGCAAATTATTTGTAATTAGCAATATGACATCAATGATCCACCAGACACCGACACCGCCCATCGTCAGCAACTTGCCCACAGCCGTCCCCGTTTGTCCAAGACAGAAACGGTCCATGCCCAGAAAGCCAAGAAGCATGCTGTAGATAAGGGTAGTCACAAAGTAGTGGTCCGTATAGCGCACGCAGGGCACACCATCTCGATCGAATGTGCGCGGGCCATAGCATTCAATGTCCGGAAAAACGGTGCACTGCACTTTTGTGTGTTCCACTTCCTCGTAGGTGGATCCACCAAAACGTAAACATCCATAACCCTTTTCCGCCTTTGCAGTTTTGTTATTACGATAATCGATGGGTTCCTTGCAGTCCAGAAAGTCGCGTGGCAGAAACGAGCACATCACAAGCGGTCCCAAAGGATTGAAGTCTGAATGAGCACTTGCTTGAGCTTGTGGAGCTGCCGCCTGTAGAGGAACAACGGACTGAACAGCCGTTCCGGAAACGACTGTCTGTGGTTGCTCCTTGTCGCTACGTGCCTGAATAGCATAAGCTGCTTGACATATGCTTAATAACAATATTAATATCACGTATTCAAACATTTTGTTTCGCATTTCGACGAAGTGCTTGGTTTTAGTTAGAGATGGCCAAGATTTGTTATTGTCGGTCACAGAAGAAAGGCACCACTAAAATTGTTGCGCTTTGTTATCGAAGCTGTAGCAACTCTGCATAGCGCTTGGCTAGCTAAATTATATCGAAACAGTCACATCGTATTTGTTGGTGGCTTGTGCTGTAAACACAATTTTGTTAGTTCTATATATTTAAGTAATACGTGATATATGGACTTATTTGAAAATTTCTGCCGCACCTGCGGAAACGCTTGCGAGGAAGCTTTAAACATATTCAATGAAAACTCGGCGGCTCCATGGCCAGGCATCAACGAATCCCTTTTGTCGGTGCTTGCCAAATGCTTGCCCGCCTCTTTGCCTTCCATAGAACGCGATGATGACTATCCCAAGCAGATCTGTCGAATCTGCCTCAAGAAGCTGCTGCTGATGTATGAGTTTGTCAAAAAGTGGGAGGAAACACACTACGAGTTCAACGTGGCGCTCAAATTCCAGCCACGACGCAAGCGCAACCCCATTTCTAGTGTTACCAGCACCAATGCTAACCAAAGTAAAAAAAAATCACCAGCTACGGCTACTGAGGCGGTTAAGCCAGCCCAACCAATTGATAGTGCTCCAGTAAGCCCACCAATTCAACCCAAACAGGAGCGTACGTCGGCTCGGCCAACACAAACAGTCGTAGAGATTCCCTATGAGTATTCAGTGCAGGCCATGGATGAAACCGGTCAGGCTTCCAACGAAAATGTCGTCATCAACGAAAACGTGGATGAGACGAAAGGCACGTTCCTATTCAAGATAGAGCCCAATGGCGGTAAGTGCTGCTTCTCCAATTCCACACAGAGTTAAATATCTTTTCTGCACTCCATTTTTAGAAATCAACAACGAATTCACAATGCTAAATGAAGAGAACAACGACTTCAGTGTGCCCATGCCCATGGTCGAGATTCCGTCGGAGTCCATAATGAATATAGTAATGTCACAATTGCCTCAAACAAGCGATCTTCCTGATAAGACATTCAATTGCATTTTCTGTCCCGAGTCCTACCACACAATGAAAGCCTTCGAGCTGCATCTGAAATTTGCGCACCGCGATGTCGAATACATATTCAATACTTAACAGTGCACAATCGGTCCATCGTACCATATTCTGCTGCAGTTTGTAAGCCATTGTGTTCGTAGTTCTATGTTATAATAATAGCTCGTATCATGGTTCGTTGAAGAAACCGAAACCTGGTTGCATGTGAAATAAGTTTTAGTTCAAGTAATGCTTTCCTGTGGAGAAGGCAAGCTGAGTGCTGTTCATTAGAACTATTTTTTCTTACCATATTTATATATGTATATAAACATTTAAGTAGATATTAGTTCGAGCCATCTGGCCAACCCACTCAACGACTATATAATAAAGTAAGTAGTTTTAAATGTTTCGTTTTACTTAGCTTTAAAACAAAAAAAATGAATCTGTTGTGTTTGATAATTTCCTAAAGCTTTTCCTCCGACGGCAGTTTCATTTTACTCGTCTTCATCAGCATGCACTTTCTCGGCGCGCGGATCGTCGTGACGGAAGACTACATATCCCATTTTGTAGCGGCGGTTATCGCCGTCCTTGGCGTAGTAATTGGCTAGTCCGATACCAGCCATAACTATGCCAGCAATGGCCAGCGCAGATCCGCCGACAATGTCTGGGATTTCGTTCCACGCACGTTTCAGGAGCGACGTTGAGCCACGAGCCGCTGGTGCTGACATCTGTCTGTGAGAATAAAGAGTTAGATGACCAGATGATGTGTTTAAGAACTGGTATATTTACAAATTTATTTGCGTTAAAGTTACACAACAAGAGCAAACGAATGTTGTCTAGAGAGGAACAAACTGGCACACATACAACTAATCGTTGTTATCGATAAGGTATAACTATGCCAAATATTTTTCGATATTTTTCAGGGTCCGTTATTTGATGAAGGAACTGACACTTTTATATCAACGAGCTTCATGTGTGCTGCACTTGCCATTCACAATTTATTTTCATTTTGTTGTTAACTGTTGGGTTGCGGCTGGCGCGGATTTAGATGGCCACTGGAGCACAATCTCCTTCCACTGACACAAGTGGGCTGCTATCGGCCACAGTTGTCGCTGGTCTCAAGAACTTGGGCACTGTGCTGACACCGCAGGTCACCAAAACACTCGTGGCCAATGCTCTGAAGTTGACCCTGCATCCAGACGCGAGTACGTACATTCATTAATGAAGTTATCGCCTGTTATTTAAAGGCTCATCGACTTTAATAGTTATTGCGCCGGTTCCTGAAATCTATGCCACAAATGCCGCCAGCGCCAAACAGAGCGAGTACGCCGTCGTCACTCTCTACGCAGTGGCCACCAAGCATGCCTGGGACAGCATGACATTGCGTCAGCAGCTGGAGGGACTTTCGCTGCACAGCAGTGCTGTGGAGGAGCTGACGCGTGTGTACGACGAACATCGCAAGGATTTAGTACTACGTCAGCTACAGGTTGGGGAGAACTTTCCACACATCACGGACGTGCAGTGGCGCATTGCCTGCGACGTGATGTCATCCACATCCGACAACAGTTCGGGTGAAGCCCATTTCTACATAAATTTGGGTAGCTACCGCCAAGGCAGCGGAGAGCGTATCACAATTGTCGAGTTCATGTGTAATGCCGAAGAACTGCAATCGCTGATCAACAAACTGAAAGAAATCGAGCGACACTGCCATCAAGTAGCCGTCGTTTAGAAAAGACAGAAATGTGCTGCTCTCGGAGAAGGGGAAATTTCGTTTCATTTTGGTTTTCGATGAGATCATCAAAAACTGTGCTCCCGCTTCCACATATGTATGTACATCCATAAGCCTTAGACGAATAGGAACAAATGTTTTACATATATGTATTTCGTAGAATTATATTTAACAGTTTTATGTACGCGTGTGTTTTGTGTCTGAAGCGCGCCCGCTTCAAGTTTTCAATAATAGGTGTATATACATATATATATGTATGTACATACGTATATACAGATTCAGCCGAGGACCTCAGAGCTTGAACACGGTTATTATTAAACAGCTTAAAGGCTACGGCAATGTCCGACATTCCAATCCAGTTTATTGCAATTTTCACTATGTTGTCGCAAATTTTTGCCAGTCATCATTCGAACACTTTGTCAATATCGATTTGCAACTCGCTGGGCAGGAGAAGCTCCAAAAGTAAATCCCGATTACCTGGCGCCGTGGTGTAGACAGTGCCTGAGAAGCAGGTATTTACATCGTCCTCGGCGGCAATGACAAGGCAATCGTTGTGCATTGACAAGCGCATGTTGATGCCGCGGAAGCGGTAGTCCTGTTTGTAAAGCTTTGACCCATCCCTGGGCACATAGTAGGGACGTCCACTGAAGGGGTTTATGAAGTCCGACCAGTACCCCAGCGATAACAATCGATCGCTTATGTCACGAGCGGCCAACACAAACTGAGAGAGGATACTTCTACAATTCCAGGGTGTGCGACCACAAGCAATAGTTGCTTACCTTAGTCGCTCCAAGCTCAATGTCGCCCTCATAGCTCAGGGTGATCAGTGTAATGTTCGCGTCCCTCTGGTTGACCGCACGCACCGGAAACAGTTCAAGGAGCGATTCCCGAATCAGCATAGGACATTGGCAGCAGCTAAATTCAAGTCTTGTCTTGTCCTCGTTGGACTCTTGAAAGAAATTAACTAGTTTTGAGAGCGGCTCCATCAGTCCCACTGTGGAGGTATCTCCCTGCCAGGCCGGACCAGTAGAATTGGGCAAATAGAAGCGATTGTGCTTAGACGTCAGCTCCCAATTGAGTTCGGCCTCGAGACTGTTGAGATCGTCTGAAAACGCGAAAGCCTATTGAAACCGCATTGAGGACCAACACATTCTCCTTACCATCATCGACGCCACGGGACTTGTTCACAGTCTTGAAAGGCTGGCCCGCATCCGAGGGCGGGCCATTGCGTTTTGAATAGCAGACAACAGCCATTACCTGCATTGGCTCGATGCAGAGCAGCCTCACACCCTGGCTGCTATTGTGACTGTTCAATGTTTTCATGTGTGCACCGGCCACTAAACTTGTGCGACCAAAGTGGCCGAGAAAACGAGTTAACGTACGCGACATTATTATATCATAAGCTTCTGCGGTGGAAAGGCAATTGAATTCAATATCAAGTTAATTAGCGAAGGCCCAATGATTTGGTAAAGTTGCTTACTTACGCGCTTTTTAGTAACAAAAAGGAACAGGTCTGAAAAGGAATTTCTAATTTCACAAAAAATTTTGTTTATTCCGTGAAAAAGAGTCTAAAATTTTCGAGTGCTGCTTTTTCCCTATGTTTTGACGTTTTTCTACGTGTTTAGATTTTGCGTAGCAAATTTAACAGCTGACTAACAAATCTGGCCAGAGTTGCCAGCCGCAGCAAAGACGCGAAGCTTTCGCACACTGACTGTGGCCCGGTACCACGATCCACAGTTCGACAATTTAAATTTAGCACATTATAAGGATATTAGAACTATTTATTACATACACATAATGGAATGAATAGTAAGAACATCATTAGCTCCCCGAGTGGACTTTTTTTTTAAACCCGATAGAAGCATTCATGGGCCCGAGGTTCGCAGTTATTATAAGGCTTAAACATGGCATCGCCATGGGCAGCTTTTGTAGTCGCCGCATCCAAGTCACGGAGCTCGTCCTCGGGCACGCAGGCACAGTGGTACTTCTTGTTTCCACGACTGTAGAGCTTGCGTGGATAGCCCGTCCAATCCCGCGCTTGACCGCCACCACTTGTGGGCGTGCACCATACGCGCGTGCCCTTCTCCTCAGACCACTCAATGTTACAGTCCGGATATTTTGTGCGCAATTGTTCGACTTGAGCCTTGGCAATCTGAGCCTGGTCAAGTAGCGCCAAATACTTGTGATGATAGGACGTCTTGGCTCCGTGTTCGTCATAGAATCGTCCAATTACCTTACCCTTGTAGACATAGTCCTTGACATAGAACTGCTTCCAATTGTCCAGACCCAGTAAATCCTCAGGCTTCAAGCTGAGCACATCGTCAGCCGTTGTTGGGTCGTAGTGGTCGAATTCGCCACTTATAAACGATACGGAGGCATCGCGTCCAACGAAATAATTGTATGAACAGCCGGGACCGTAGTGTTTAACGCCACGGGTCACGTCAAAGACAGCACCAAGGAGCGCCAAATAAATGGGCGCCCCATTCTCACCATTGAATTTTGCCAGCTGCGCAGGCGTAAAGAGTTGATCCGATTGAGTGAATTCAACTGCAACACTTTCACCTTCATGTGCTGCACTTGTTGTTGTTGGCAAATACTGCCCCACTATATTTTTTAACAGAAGCACAATTTCCGTCCGATAAATGCCAGCAATCACAGCCAAAAAAACTAATGATAATTGCACTTTGAAACTCTTTTTAAAAAACTCCAGCATTTTTTATTGCTATTTATACGTTTATTGTTGTTTTTGTCAAGCTGCTATGGCAATGAGGGCAACATCATCAGCTGGTAGTAACAGAAAATGAAATGTGAATGCGTTATTGTGACTTGCAAAAAAAAAATCTACAAATCCATTCACAAGCAATAACTGAATTCCGTTATTTTGTAAGGAAACTTGTAATCAGACAGTTTATTTTAAAAAATGGATGAAAACGACGTGAAGAAGCTGTGGATACATTGCAATCGCTGCTATAAACAATATGTGCACCATAAGGAAACCAGTGGTAGTAGGTTCTTTCTTTTAGCGTGCCAGGACATCGCATGCGATAAGTGTGTAGAAGCGGCGCCAGGACGATCGCCCAGCGATGCCCCCATTTACATCTGTCCCATATGCAGGTGCAAAGTTCGTGGTCGACAGATTAACAATGCAATGCCGTACCATTTGAAGTCCCTTTTTCATCCGGAACCGTGGTTGGATGAGCTGCGCAATGAAGCTATAGCAGGTTTTCAACGCAAGCACATGAACCGCTTTTTGAAGTATTGTCAAGAAAAGGTTGGCAAGTGTTATTGTTGTAGTAACAAATGTACTACGAATAAAAGTTTTTCATTATTTTTCCTAGGAGAAAGAGGTTCAGAAGGTAGACAGTGACATGACCTTGGCTCTTACGGCTTGCCAAAAATTGTACCTAGAGCTCGAACAAGCGCGACAAATACGCAGGCAACTAGAGAACCGAGCGCAGCAAATTAAACAGCAAATCAAGAACAATAGGTCTTTAAGCAAAATCTGCATACACAATTATGTACAAAAATGGTTAAATTGTTTTTCTTTTTGTCTCTTAGTGTCTCAGTCACATCCGGAAGTACTTGTACCTCATCAAATGGTCCCGTTATTCAAAAGAGAGTTCGGCTAGACGCACGTGCTAATTCGGAACCACAAATTTCAAAACCACAAAAATGTCAACGAAAGAACCCAGGCATTACTAGTTTTCAGCACCAGCCCAATCATACATTTGAACTTTAATTTTTTTGCTTTTATAAACTACAATTAAATTATTTCAGAGCATTTCAGTTGCTGAATTGTTTTAACACATCATGAAATATTTCAAATAAGTTTCACTTACATATAAGAAATATTGTTGAAAAATTTCGCTTAAACATTTACTTGTACAGAAGGTACATAAAGACAAATACGTATACATATGTATATTGTTCAACCATAATGAAAGTAGTAGTTACATACATATATAAGAAATATTGTTGATAATTTTCGCATAATCATTTATTATATCATTTAATCTCATATTCTAAATCTATTTGACTTTTATATACATGTAACGAAAATCGCTTTCACAAATAACAATAATTTTCTGTTTAAAGGCTTAAACATAAATTCATACAACAAACGTATGTATGTATGTCTGTCTGTATGTACATACGTATATATGCATTCGTTTTAATGTCGCTGTTATTTTAGTTGTGACAATTGGAGTTTTCCAACACTGTTTGTCATTTCTTCTTCTTCACTTGTGTTCACGACGCCATTATAAGCGAGTGAGTGCGTGCGAGAATAAAATAATTCGTGCGTTTTTCGAATGGCAAAAGGAAAAGAAGTTGATCATTAAAATCGGCGCTTTACGGGTTAATTGTAAACAAAACTGTAGTAATCGAGAGCGTGGCTGCATTCAAATAACAGTTGACGAGCTCGGGACGAGTGGTCGATATGATGAGTTCGAAGGAAAGCGTCGTCCTAAATTGCCGCACATGCACCCGTGCGTGCAAATCGTACAAAGCACTGCACGACGAGATCGAGCTTGGCCCTAGTGATACGACAACTCTAGCCGGTATGCTGAGCTTCTGTTCGAGTTTGTCGTTTGAGCTCGATGACAGTGCTGGATTGCCGCAGCACATTTGCCTGAGTTGCCTGCATTTGCTAGAGCAGGCATTTAGTTTTAAGCGAATGGTACTCGATTCCGATGAATTGTTGCGACTGAGCCTCCTTCAAGGGCAGGGTATTACCGAGGAGTACGTAATGTTTGAAATGCTGAACGAGGAGCAGGAACGTTCAACGCCCACGCCTACGTCCACACCCAGACCAACGCCAACACCTACTCCTGATGATGTTGCGGCCCTAGTGGAAACGTTAAGCGATCCGCCTGAGGCGGAATATGTTATCGAGACCATTGCGGATACGAGCTTGGAGGATGGCCCAGAGGGGCTAGAAATGGCCAACCTACGCGAATTGAATGCGGCGGATGTTGAGTTTGTAACCATCAAAAGCGAGTACGACTCCCTAGTCGAAGATGAGGATGAAATCGAGGTAATGGATTGCCCCGAGAGCTCTGACCAAATACTTGGAGAGGAAATAGTTGTTATACATAGTCCGATCGAGGATGACATTATAGATGAAAACATTGATATCGAGCGGGCGGAGCACCTGGTAAGCGAATATAAACACATCATCCAATGATCCATAGATCTAAATAGCTTTCAAATTCTATAGCTGACGACGGACGGCGAGAATATAGACGACGAGGAGTTTCTGGATGAGGTGCAACCGTATATTTGCAATATTTGCGGCAAGTCCTTCCGCCAGCAATGTCGCCTCAATCAGCACATGCGCGTCCACACCGATGAGAAGCTCTATTCGTGCGAGGTGTGCGATAAGAAACTGAAACATCTCCGCAACTACAGAGAACACATGCTGACACACACAAATATAAAGCCACATCAATGCAACATTTGTGAACGCTTCTATCGCACCACATCCAGCCTGGCGGCACATAAGCGCACACACACCGAAGATAAGCCACACAAATGTGATACCTGTGGCCGCGGATTTGCCGCACTTGATCACATGCGTCGACACAAGCTCACCCACACCGGGGAGCGTCCTTTTGCGTGCGATCTGTGCGACAAGGCCTACTATGATTCCTCATCGCTGCGCCAGCACAAAATCAGTCATACCGGCGCCAAAGCGTTCACCTGTGAGATATGCGGCCTGGGGCTGTCACAGAAGTCCGGCTATAAGAAACACATGCTGGTGCATTCCGGAGAAAAGCCCCACAAATGCCACATCTGTGGACGTGCCTTCACTTTTACCAGCAATCTGAATGCTCACGTGCGTCTGCATTCGGGCGAGAAACCGTTCAAATGTGAGCACTGTTCAAAGGCATTTCCCACAAAGAAGCGACTCCTCAGTCATATGCGTGTCCACAACAAGGAGGCGCCCGTAACTGTCACCGTAACCCCAACCCCAGTTGGCGTCTCTGCCCCTCGCCCAGCTGTACCGAAGGAAACCTATCGTACTGGCCAAATGCCCGACGTACCTGATCAGCAAGTGTCGACCTCAAAGGTGATTGTGGTGCTCTGAGTGTTGGCATCGCCATCAACCGACTAAACACTAAATATAATATTAATTGCGGATATACCGCCTGATATGCCCGATTCGAGGCTCATTTTATAGCTAGAGTTGGAATTCGCCTGCCAGGCCTAGAAAATACTTTTTTCTTATTTTTTGTCACACAACCGAATGTTAGAGCGAAATTTCTGTAAAAAGGGAGTTTAGAGAAAATAAGTTATACTTATACGAGTATACCAAAATGCAAAAAACATGCATTAAACAAAAAGACGAGTTATTTTAGTTTATTTTTTTCTTACCCACCATCCTTCTCCATGTTCTGCAATCGAATTTGCTAACTGAATGGTTTTAATTTACAGTTAACAGTCATTTAGAGTAATATAACTTTTTTATGTATGTATGTATATCAATAAGAAGCCTTTTATTGAATGACGGGACGAATTAGTTCTTTAAGATTTCATTTAATTTTTTTTTCTTCCGCATGTAACACAATTGAATGTGTGTATGCTGAACTTTTTCTGTTTGTGATGATGTAATTAAAAGCAAAATATCATATAAGCTATCTATAACAATAAAACTATATCGTATGAAATGATAATTCAATCTACTCTGATCATTATCCCATAGAAGTGTCCTTCTGTGGCAACTCACATATGCATATGTATGCATATTTGATAAAGTTCGCATGATTGTTCTACATACACACAAACGTATGTATGAGTTTGGTCTACGCAGGATCGCCATTGGGATTGTCATCGCTGTCCGGCGGCGGTGACAAATCGTCCACAATTAGTGTATTTGGCTCGACCTCCTGCATGCGAGTTCTGAACGCTGCATGCGTCTGCTGATGCATAGCAAAGGAAACGTGACGTTTGAAGGTTTTGCCGCATTCGGGACAGAGGAAGGGCTTCTCATTACTGTGCACAAGCTTATGGCGATTGAGTTCCGAACTGCTCACAAAGGACTTTTTGTGGCATATGTCGCATTGGTAGGGTTTCTCCTGACTGTGGGACCGTTTGTGGGCTATAAGATTGCTCGAGTAGCGGAACTCGCGTTGGCAAATATCGCAGGTGTGTGGCTTCTCGCCGGTGTGGGTCAGCATGTGCTTTTTATAGCCAGACTTCTGGGTCAGTCCTTTACCACAAATGTCGCAACGGAACGGTTTGATACCAGTGTGTGTGAGCATATGATTTCGTAGAGAGGAGGCTTGACGATAGGTTTTGCCACAATGGTCGCATTTGTTCGGATTGTTGGGATTGTGAAGGGTGATATGACCGTCGTAGGCGTTTCGCGTCTTAAAGGATTCGCCGCATATTTTACACACAAATGGCGTCTCATCGCTGTGCAGTTGCATGTGGTATTTAAAGGAGTTGGTGGTGCTTAGCTTTTTACCACAAATCTGCGGGATCAGTGTGTTCAAGAGTTAGAAAACAAACGAAATAAATTCCTATTGAATATAGATATATGATACGCACCGAGCACTGGAATTCTGGCTGGGACTTTCGTTCTCGACTTTTACGCGGCTTTACACTCAACGCATTGTTTTTTTCAGTTTCCATAGACTGTTTTAGCAAGTCTCCGTCATCCTCCTGATGCAAGACCACATCGAGAACTTCTTTTTCCAGCTCATAGTCACTTTCGATCTCCTCCTGATCGATCATCTCAACAACAGTTGACTGTTCATCGCTTTCGAACTGCTGTTCATCACATTCGAAGGCCACCTCATCATCTTCGGCCGATTCCTCGATGACGCTCTCCGCATTGGAAACGTCTATAACGCTGTCCGTATTCTCGTACCCAGTTTCATACACATATATATATTGGCAGCTCTCTTGCTCGACCAGATCCAATTTAGTAGCCTCCTCAATGAATTCAATATCTTCTGGCTCCTCTGCTTCTATATTTTCTGGTTCCTCCAAGGCAGGGGATGAGAGTGGCGATTTTGTGGCATTAGCTGCCACAACTGACAGCGCTTTCAAGGCAGTCTCGCGCTGCCGTTGGCACCGATCTGAGTACTCCTTGCGTAGCATGTGATCAGTACGGAGTACAGTGCGCTTGAAGTCGTACACTTGCGACAAGCACTGAGCGCATTTGCTGCATATTTGCGAAGGAAGGAAGTGATCCTCCTCGAGAACCTCCATGTTGGCGCAAAAACTCAAGACCGTGGCCAGCGTCGTCAGCTCACCAGACATTAAATGCGGTGCGAAGAGGGAATAGCATTTTGGCGACTTTTTGTTGCACACTCGACATAGGGGAAGGCGCTGCACTTCTTCCGTGCATGATGTCGGATCCATTCCTACTCTGTTTCCAGGTCCATCAGCAATCGACATGCTTCCAACAATTAATGCTACCCAGATAAAAAAGATAAAAACAGTACATTTTCTTTTTTTTTTGGCTACACTGGTGCTATTTTTGTGACAACCTTCTCACTCTTTCGTACGCTTTTTGTTAACATTCAGTTTTCTGATTAACACAAAACATACGTTTTTTTTACTAAATTTTATTTGGCGTCCAAATTTTGTGTTTCTTGTTATTTGTTTGACGAAGTGTAAGCGAAGAGTGGCAACATTAGTGCTACCAATCAGCAGTGCGTACACTGTCAGCTGACAAGTGGCCGCCAGTGTGCAAAAATTCATGAAGATTTTTTCCTTTTCCATGCCGCCGGCTGTCTTGGGTTTGAGGTTGATTTATAAAACGACGATATCAATTGGTAGAGCATCGAAAGTTTTGAAGGCAACGATATCAATTAAAGCGGTGGCATAAGCATGGCACCCAGTTCCTTTATCCATATGCTGCGCGCCCTCACTACGCCACGTGCGCCCGTTCTCATAATCGCCAGCCGATTGCGCCGCAAATTCCCATTGAATAATCAGTTGCCCCTGCTGCTGCGGAGCTGTCGTGCGTTGTCAACGGGTTCTGTTACCGCACAAACAAACAAAAGGGATAAGGCCCGGGTGGCGCACTGGATGAGCAGCAGATCCTATAGCAGCAGTCCCACTAATACCAGTAAGTAATACTATATATGGCAAGGGATGGAATGAACTGAACGCAACTCGTTTCTCCATAGAGGAACAACCGGCAACGGCTGCAGGGGCGCCAGAAGGCAGCACCCCGTTGCTCGCTAAACTGTTTCCACAAACAGCGCCCGAAGTGGACACTACTGCCGAAAATGAGCGTCAGAAGCGTGAGGAGGAAGAGGCTAAGGAGAACGAGCGCGCCTGGAAACGCATGAAATTAGGGTAAATATATACTTATATCCATGCATACATAGATAGATATTTATATTTATGTACAGTACTAATTTTTCCCCAAATCATTCAACAGCTTTAGCATTTTTGGTGGCGGAGGCATAGCCTGTGCCTTATGGGCCGTTTATGAGTTTGGTAAGCCGGAAGTCGATCCTGAAGGTCAGACCATCGAGGACGAGTTCTCAAATAAGCCAGTGGTGCAACAATATTTGCAACGCATGTGGAAATCATTGCACTATTATCAAAAAATGATACAGGAGCCATCGCGTGCTAAACTGCTGCCAGATCCGTTCAAGCATCCGTATGTGCATCCACGATACACGCTGGTGCTGGAGATGAAGGATGTGCTGGTGCATCCCGATTGGACATACCAGACGGGCTGGCGCTTCAAGAAGCGACCCGGCGTCGATCACTTTCTTCAGGAGTGCGCCAAAGACTTTGAAATCGTTGTCTTCACTGCCGAACAGGGCATGACTGTTTTCCCCATTTTAGATGCGCTCGATCCCAATGGATATATCATGTATCGACTCGTGCGCGACGCCACCCATTTCGTTGACGGACACCATGTTAAGAATTTGGACAACTTGAATCGGGATTTGAAGCGGGTGCGTTGAAATTTACGTCTTTTTTTATACTCTTATTGAATTTATTATCCGTTCCCACATTGAAGGTCATCGTTGTGGACTGGGACTCCAATGCCACGAAAATGCATCCGGACAACACGTTTGGCATTGCCCGCTGGCACGGCAATGATGATGATGCTCAGCTTTTAGACTTGATTGCCTTCCTAAAGAGTAAGACCACGATTTGCTTTGTACTTTGAGGATAGTTTGGACTAATTTCGTCTACTCTTTTTTCACTTGTTTAGTAATTGTTCAGAACGAGGTGGACGATGTGCGTGAAGTGTTGCATTATTATCGGCAATTCGATGACCCCATTGGCCAATTCAGGGACAATCAGCGCAAGTTGGCTGAGCAGCTGGAGGAGAAAGAGCGTATGGAGCAGACGAAAACAAAGCCAATTGTCAAGCAATGGTCTCGCAATATCCTGGGCCGCTAATAGGCATTGGTATCCATCCATCTAGCGCTTGTCCCCAATCAGTCGCCATTTTATAATTTCCAGAGAATAATAATGTCCCAGTAATGTAGGCAACCGTTGAGTAGTAAATGTCAAAGCTAATTCTTTAATTTAGTTAAAGGCATGGCCATAAATCGAACACAAATGCAACAAACATTACACTTACACCCACACCCACTCGAACACACACACACTATCCTTAGACATACCAAATGGAGTACAAGTGCACGCTTTTTCAGCTAAGCAGGTGAATAGGCAGAGCTGCTGCAAAAGCTATTGTAGAATGTTTTGTTTTGGATTCGTTTTAAGCAACTTGGTTATTTACTTGCAATTGTAATGACTTTGACAATGAACATAAGGTTAATGATAATGATGATTATAATAATAAATTTTAAAAACAACCTGCCAAAAGAATACAGCAATACGCAGTCAAAGACAAAGATAAAGCACAGACATACAATATCCGTGTATGCTACAAGTACTATATTACAGAAATAAGTCCAATAAGTTATTTGTATATTTTTTAATATATTTTGTTCATTTGTTAATTTATTTTCATTCTCATTGTTTTGGTTTTTCCTCTGCAATATATCATTTGCTTTACATTGATTTCATCTGATCTGGGATTGGAGAACACATACATATGTTTCGTGTTTTAGGCCTTCATGCTAAGCTATGCGCCTTAAATTTCAAGTTGACATTCAAGAAAGGCGGCTGTTAGTTCGTTTAATTTAATTTTGCTTTGTGACGATCTGGGTCCTTGATTTTATATACAGTGTCCCAAACATTGTATTGAGCTGACAAATGGAAGAGTATGTATCTTGTATACATATACTTATATATGTGTCTGTTTGTGTTTTTATATTCTGTGCAAAATCTGTCTCATTAATTGATAATCGAATAACGATTTGAAGACACGTTTCAAGGAGGAATCGCCGTCATTCAAATGTGTTCGTTATATTTGCTGGCTTCCTAGAGATCTGTAGTTCAATTCAATAGTATTAGTAAGGCAATGAGCCAGAAACAATCTGTCCGCAATGATCGCATTAAAAAACATTTTTGAAAAACATCGTCCAATTTCATCACAAAAATCAATGTTAAGATCCATACAAGTTCTGAATATATGATTTGTTTGTAGGCCTTGGTATTCTAATGATCTTGAGTTCAATTGGGTTGCTATCTGGGAGATTTCAGTTCGTTTAGATTGTGGGTATTGGAGATGTGTTTGATTCGGTTCCTAGTTCTGAACTTCCAGTGCCTCTTGAATATACCAAACATTGTGTTTGCCAGCAAATTTGTGAAATATTGCTTCGAAAATGAGATGTATTAGTCGTATATGCATGTGAAAATCTGGTTTGCTCGGTTGCTCTTTAGGAACTTTAAGCTCCTTTTGAATATACCAAAAGCTTCATACACTGGAATTTGTTAAATACTGCTATGGGGACATTAAGTTCTGACGATCTGTTTTCTTTGTAGGCCTTGGTATTCATTTCCTAGTTCTGAACTTTTCACTCCTTTTGATAATGCCAGAAGCTTTCTTCATTGGAACGATTGAGTTTGAGAAGTTCCGCAGATCACTTTTGACCTCAGAGAACGAGCTGGAGATCTAGTTCTATGTATATTCTTTTTGATTAGAAGCTATTGCAACTTCTTCTGAATCAAAGGAGTAGTTAAATCTATTTTCTAACTCCATTGCTGCTGGTACTCTATTGAAAGTAGGTTCTTGCTGTTCTTGCGACAGATTCTGTGTATATTTGTGTGTGTGAGTGTATGTACATCAGAGTTAAATATTTATTAAGAGGACTTTGAGAAGCGTTGAGTGTTTAGACTTGAGGTGCGCGAGTTTGCGATATAGTTTCTCTTAAAGCTATTACATTTATACATTTATAATACTGTGTTGTGTTGCTTCAGTTATAAACAAAAGTATGTTTACACTAGTATGTATATGTTTGCACACATTGGGTGGGTTATGTATTCGAGAAAGACGAAAAAAAAGACGGTTGAGGACTACAAGATAAGCTAAAGTCCACCAAACAGGTAACACTATGATAAATGAATGCTGCGACTGACTGATATTTGATATTGAATAGAAGATATCTATAGAGTTTGTTTGAATCAAAAGTTTTCAGAGTTCGTCTTTGCACATTGACTTGTGTTATGTTAGCTGCGCTACCAAGGCACATACAACAAATCAATGATGAGAATAGAAATGGAAATAAAAATGTTATAAATGTACTATTTATATATGGAGGGTTCTTACAACTTGTAATCTTTAAAGTGCGGCATCCCAAGCAATTTAGCTGCGTTATTTAATTTGCTTTTTATAATGTAGACCCTTCTGGATTTTGGATCCGGTCCTCATTTCGTAATGCCTGGTGGTTAGTACACATGGTATAATACATTCATTCGTTCGTTATATGGTTAAATAATTTCATTTACAGTTAAATAAATTCTTTGTTCAATTGATGCCAACTGCATTTTCTTTGTTTCGTTTTTTGTTTTGGCTATGAGTTTTGTCTAAAATTTTAAAACTACAAAAAATACGCACATTTTACTTGCTTTATCGCTAATTTCCTTTCGATATTGGTATGATTTATGTATATTTGTTTCGATTCGTTTTGTTTTCTTTTTTTCTTTTATTCATGCATTACAAAAATAGAGCATCATTTTTAAATTTTGAATAGAATAGCTATTTCATCTTTAGTTTCATGTTTTCTCTCTTCTGTTTCTTTCTTTCTCCCTTCTCTCTTTTTTCTTATTTAGCAAATGCTGATTCCAAAGGCCTTGACAAAAATTGAAAAATGTTCGCGTTTCGGAGTGCGTGTGTGCCTGTGTGTGTCTGTATGTGTGTGTATTGTGACCGATATTTAACTATAGAGATAGCTATAGCGTCCTTCATCCTTGTGTTAAAGTGAGTGGAAATTTGGTGGAAGCAATGCGAATGTTAGACTTTTAATTATTTTGTATATATTGATCACAGCTTTTACAATTCTAATGATATACAAATGGGTGTCAGTGTGTGTCTGTGTATAGATATATGTATGTGTGTGCATGAATCGGGGCCAACAAAGTACTTATCATAAGTTTCGCAGATCTCGCATAAATACAAGTATGTCTGTGTTTCTTATAAACCGCGCCTTCTCTTTTCTTGGATCAAGGCGGTTCCTAGTACGCTCTACGATCCTACTTATGACAAACTTTACAAACATGTTATCTAAGTAGATGTATGTAGATTTATATACCCTTGCAATGGGAATAAGGAGCGCAAATAGAAAAAAAAAAGCAGCCAAGAATCTATTCAAGAGTCTCTTAAAATCACTGAAGAATTTTTCCAACAATATCCCTAAATATACTAACGATCGATCATCCTAAAATGGTCTGCAAGGGTATCAAATATTGTCCGTTTATTTGAATACAAATTTTTGTTTTCAGAAGCCGATCGATCGTCTTTTTTAAATCATGTCTGGCTCTTCCTTTTTCCTAGTTGTCTGGGTATTTCCCTATTTTTATAACTTGATATCTCAGCATATCTCTGAATACATTATACAGAAAACGATCGATAATCTGAAATATGTTTGCAAGAGTATAAAATCTGTTCTAGATTTTCTTTTTTTCCTAATTCTCTGGGTGTTTCACTTCCTTCTAACTGGAGAGCTTCTTCTAGACACAACAACTAAATACATATATATGCGAATGTACGTACATACTATATGTACATTGATTTTTTAGGTCTGGTAAGCCTTTCAATTTATTTAAAAAAGTAATACAAAATATTGTTGTTTTTAGTTGTCATTCGAGCGACTTGCAAAGTTTTTCTCCTTTTCATCATTTTTGTTTCCTTTTGTTCTTTATTTAATTACTTATTATTTTGATCGCGTGTGAAAATTATGGAAAAGAAGGCATTTCTCATCGTTTGTCTTTCATTTCTATAAACTATTTGTTCATAGAAAACGTTACGTTTAATTTAGTATATGTATGTATATACTTAGTAGTTGATGGCTTAGTAAAATGCTTGTTAAATTTTACTAAATTTTCTCATAGTTATATCGATTTGTTCTATTAAAAAAATAAAAACATAGGGAACGGAGAACAAACAAATACGAATAAACTCTTAAGTGTTGTACGACGGTTTTTGTTGCTACGTTTTACGTTCTCCCATTTCCTCTTTCTCTTAGTGGATTACACTCTAATACTCTAATGGCGAATCGACAGAATAGTGGGCTGAGTTTTGGACTTGTGTTGTGACTGTGACGGTACTTCATATTAATCTTTTGCTTTGGACTGCTGGAGAATTGTTACTGGTGGGGCGATCGCACGGCGAAATGCAGGTAGGGCGGGCCGGAAACAAATGATAGGGAAACGCAGTTAACTACCTATTTTTTATTCTGTTTCTTAAGTATTGGCTATTAATGCAAGACCACACAGTTCAATATATGGATGTATATTAAAGAATACAATCAATTGCATTTCCAACAATTTCCATGACTGAAAATATAATCATTTTATATACATATGTATGTATGTATATAGACACTTCCTAGAGTATTCTAGGTATTTTAAATTTTAAATATAAGCCATCTAAAAAGCCTCGATTTCATCTTTCAATATTTCCAATAGATTATTATTTAAGGAAAATCAATTTTCTTTATAAATTATTTAAAGTACTTGGAGGTACTATTGTACCTCCTAAACTAAATGTCAATTAATGTTAAATTATATTGCAAATAAGGGATTTCTTTGTGCTACTTACGAAATAAATACATACATATATGTACGAACATATGTATGTACATATGTATAGTTTGTTCATTCATTAAACTGAAATAAATGCAGTTGAAGGTACGTACCACTGTACCTTTGACTGGGGTAGATTATTTTTCTATTCGTCGTGCTCTTTCTTTTGCTCTCCCCCGCCGGGGGATGCGTTTAAAGAAGAATGCATGCTGCTTACATTTTCTATACTCTATATACATATATATTTATGTATGTATGCATGTATATGATCTCTGAATAATTATGTTTGTAAACTAGTTTATAGTTGCTGTCAGCTCTGATTTTGTTTGTTTTGTTTTTGCTTCTTTTGTATTTTGTAGTTGATTGTAGGAAAGTTGCAACAATTTGCATAAATATTTCTCAATAATTGCATTTATTTAATGTTAATATTTCACTTAAAAAAAACAGCACATTAATAAAATTCGAAGAACAACAATGATGATAATGTCCGACATTCACATTGACAGCTTTCTTCGTTCGTTCTCCCCCTCGTTATTATTCAATTATTGACAGATATTGTCTCTTTCTGGCTCTACACCTCCCTCACCGATTTCTCCCTTGCTGTTTCCATTGCCGTTGCACGGACGGTTTTAACTTAAATTTGTGTTTGTTCGTTGCGCCTTCTGTGGGTTGCTCTTTCACCTGCCCACCCTCATTCAGCGTTCTCTCACCCCCGCTCTCAGACGCTTTTTTTCGTTGTACCTTGCACACACTTGAAAAGAGTGTTGCAACACTTTCTTTTTTTTAGTTAACTTTTTTCTGCATTTTAACATTGTTACACTTTTCTTGTTTTTATCTTGTTTTTGTTTTTCTATTGCGCAGCATTTATTTGTTTTTAGCTAGTTGTTTCATTAGTTGTTTAAATACGTTTTTTTCAATTTTTTAAATAAAATTTAAATACATAAATTTACAGTGTTTCTTCTTTGATTATGCGAACAAAAATTTGTAATAATAGTAATTAAAACATAGACAATTGAAATTATTTTCGCACACATATCGTTATACATATATATATATATATGTATATACATATATACATATATCTCTTTATATATATAAAATAAAAGATTAAACATTACGTACATTACAAAAAAAATTTGTATAAATATATATATATAAGTATATGTATATTTTATGTGTATGTATAGGTTTTTATGTATGTATGTATATGTATATGCATGTGTATATTCACGTTGTTTGCTTCTGTTTTGTTTTTTGTGGTTTTTAAATTTTAATAGTTATTCGGGTTTACATATTCATTGATTTGTTCTTTCTCATATGCGCGTACATACATATGTAAGTATATGAATTTGAAAGGAGCAAAAAATTAGCACTAGACACATTTTTACATTTACACATATTTGTAGAAATTGTTTAGCAAAAGTGTATGCATGTATGTATGTACATATATGCCAAATACAGAACATTACACTTTACACATTCCATTACATTTCTAAAAATAAAACATTTGTGTTTTTGTATGCGTGTGTGTGTGAGTGTTTAAACAAATAGACGACATAAGTAGTTGAAAAATTTACAATTACAATTTGCTTAAACAAGTTTTTAAACATTCACAGTTACACAAGATTTTATTAAAGTTTCTACAGCAAATTATAATATTTAAATATTTAAAATATAAAAACAGACAGGCGAACATTTAGTAAGAAAAAAAAAAACGAATTTAAAAGCAAATACATAAGACGCATGTATGTGTATACAATTTGTTATTGTTGGTTGGTTGGTTTTTGTTGCTGTTGTTGTTGTTGCTGTTGTGGTGGTGGTCAGTGGTGCCGCCAATAACTGTACATTGTGGCAGAAGCCGAAGCAGCAACGACTCCAACAGTTCTTCCTTACTCCGAGTCCTGTTCCCGGTCATCAAAGCCTGCCAAATCCACCGACTGAAGCATGCCCCGTGAAAGGGCGTACTCGATGAGGGCCAGATGGCAGAAAACATACTGATCGGGCATTTGTATTGAATAGGCGCGCTGGGATCGAATCTTCTCAACGGTACCCCGAATGTCAGCCGTGCCCACATCCTCCAGCCGCGATATGCAAATGTCCAGCGTGATGAAAGTGCCTGCATTTAGGATTGAAGAGATACACCATAAGTAAATGATACCATTTAAGTCGCCATTTCCTGAGGATAATCCGAGCTTGCGCTGGTCCTTTCTTTTCATTTTTCCAGAAAATTTTGCACAACTGCACTTCAACTGCTCTTCAATGCCTATGTACTTATGTCCGAATTGTGGAAACAATTCAACATTTTGACTTTTACTTGTAGTCTATTTTTTCATGTTCTATTCACTAAACTTTTCGCGAACAACGAAAGTATTACGAATTAACGAAATTTTCAATCGTGCTCAGCTGTTCGGAGCTTTCCTAGTAAGGAAGAATATTGCTGATCTTCCTGAAAGTGTGCCTGAAGAACCAAACCAATCGATTTTTTCTCCTGCACGACACTTTAATTTGGCGAATTAGGGGAAGATATTGGTGGCCTATAAGTTTGAAATATCACAGGAAGTAAAGCACCAGAATCAGGAAAAATATGGGGTAAAGTCGACTATGTAAAAAACTATACACGTACATAGAACTTATTGGATGTCCGTCCGAAAGGGTTTATCAACAAAATTGGTATTCAATCGTTCAATCTATTAAGAATATAATTGTCGATAGACTAGGACATATAGAAAAACATATTTGATAAATACTGAGTAGATCGAACTTGTGTAAGTCGCTTTAAGACGAAAACTTATTGGGTGTCCGTCAGAAACGGTATATCAACCAAATTTTTGGATTATTTGATATTCGTTCGTTCAATCTATCAAGAATATAATTGACTACAGGTTAAAACATATAGAAATATATATTTAAATACGGAATAGGTGGAACTTGTGTAACTCGCTTGAAGAAGAAAACTTATTGGATGTCCGTCAAAAACGGTTGTCGTTATAATATCTGTATTTCGTTGGAATTAAAAAGTTGTTATTCGATTGTTTAAAGTCTATCAAAAATATATCTACAAATAATCGAATGAAGTTCAGGAAGTGGCGATTTTCAACTTTGGCTCTGAGAAAGTGAGGCCCAACCACCAACACTCACCTGTGCGTCCAATGCCCGCACTGCAGTGCACCACAATGGGCGGACCACGCGCATGACCCGCCCAGGTATCGCCAAGGGCGCGAACCATTTGCGCTTGCTTATCGCGCACCTTTTGCAAAAAGTTCAGCATTGCCATTGCCGAGCTGGGAACGCCGTAATCCGGCCAGCTGGTGAATTGCCAATGTGAGACATTGCGGATTTCGTCAGTCTGCGAGAAAGAGAATTTACAGATGGTGATGTGAAAGATACAATTTTTATGCTACCCCCCTACCTTTATGTTTCTCAATTCTAACGAGGCAACCGTATAATCTTCATTGCACTCGACGCTAATTGTTCGCACATGGTAATTTCCAAACTCTAAGGAACTATCTTCAGTCGGCTCCCAGTATTGGCCGCACTTAACACGCCCACGTTCCATAACGCGCGTTGTCATAACTATAACTAAGCACTGTTGTTCCCAGATCATGCGCCAAAAGTCCAGGGATGTCTTTGGTAGTGGACCTAAAATGAGAAATGATACAAGTTTTCAAATTATTAGGTAATCCGTAAACTACCAGTTGAGTAGCATTTGTTTTCTGGATTAATTTAGAAAGGGAAAACTGAAATAAAGGGTGGCCCCCACCCTGATGCTAATGAATGTCCTTGTAAGCTTTTGTTAGGCTTCATTGCATGTCCGCATTTTTGTACGACTTACATCGTTTTATTGTTGTCATCGTTGTGTTTGCGTTAAAACGAAGCCATAGTGGGCCAGATAGCCCGTCCAGCTATTCATATTCACCTATCTAGGGTGGCTAGCAGGCGAGCTATTCAGTTATTGTGCTGTTCCATCGGCTTTGAACCCGAATTCAGTGCGCATTTTACCCCATTTATGGGTAAAATTGCGCACAATCTCTATTATTTTTTCTATTCAAACCGGACATTCGTTTTTTGTGCATAGAGAAATTTTGTTTGGTGGGAGGACTCACCTTGAGTTGAAATATATGCATTCTTCTGTTTGTAACCATCGACAAAATTCGCATTTATGTAATCGGATGGGTCATCGCCTTCGTTCGCCAGGACCACGCGACTATGATCATAGCAAAGGACATCTGTATATCGATTTTTGGTTACATTGCTGCGCATGCTGTGCGAAATGAAAGTTTGGTTTTAAATTCGAAACTTCGAAACTATATGACAATTTACACACTTACCGCGCATGCGAGAATGTGCCATCGGGAGCACGATTCCTTATATCGCCATACTCTCTACATAAACCCGCACGACCGCGCTCCTTGACCATTTCAGCGATTTGATTAATTGTTTTTGGATCACCCTCTTGGCCGGCCAGACTGTCGTCATCACTGAAGCCAGAGGAAGCACTACTTGGTGGATTCTCAGACCAGAATTCACCGCCACCGCTGCCATTGTTGGCACCACCACTGCCACCGTTAAGCGCCACAGTTGCACCAACAGTTCCACTTGTTTGCGCCGCCGCTGCCACTGCTATGGCAGACACAGTGTCGCCCCCGGTCCCGTTGCTCTGTGGTATGCCGCTGGTATTTAATCTGAGCGTATTGGTTGTGGCACGATGATGACTCGGACTCAGTCCGTTAATTGTGATGTTCTCGTTTGTTTCTTCGGCCGTACCGTTTGTTTGTTTGTTGCCACCACTCGTTGCTGTCGTTGTCGCTGCTGCACCACCAACCACTGCCGTCGAATTGTCGCTGACCGTAACGACGGTCGTGTTGTTATCAGTCAGTTGATGGACTGCACTAATTATTGTCGTTGCTGTTGCCGTCGTCCCTGTTGTTGTTGTTGCCGCTGAGGCTGCACTAGCATTGGCAGCACTGCCGTTGCTTACTGTCGACGTCGTTGCGGGCGCCACCGCACCACCGACACCGACACCCACAATATTGGCAAGCAGTTCGTCTTCACGATTCGTCATCGATTGGCGGCAAGTTAGCAACCATGTGGCGTGATCGATTTCCAGTGTGCCACCCAAATGCAAAGGGAGCGCCTTGTGAGGCACGTGCCAAACGAGCTGCGGCACCGAAACGGTAAAAACGCGTTCGCGCAGCTTTTCCCGTACAAAGAGGCGCAGTATTTTGAACGGCGCCTTAAACCACAGCGGCGCCGTCACAATTAACACTTTCTTCAGACGTGCCGGATAGCCACCCTGCAACACAAGAATGGACAGAGGATCAAAAATTGCACGATTAGTATTATAGTATCGACTTGTTTTCAGTACAAAAACAAACACAATTAATTTCTATGCCCACTATCGTTCCTAATTTTCAAAGTTTATTTTGTATTTAAAGAAGAAGAGGGGGTTATGACCACCTTTTTCAAATGATGTACATATAAGGATCAGTCCAATAGATAACTATAGATAACAGCAAGGGCGTAGGCAGCTTTTACCAATAATGCACGATGCATTTAAAAAATAACTTATGCATATGATAAATGAAAAAACTTCAACAAATCCAACTCAGATCCATTTTAAGGCACTTGGTACCTAAAGTAGGCCGGGAACAAGCTTTTTAATGAGATGCAGGATGATTGAGAAAGATAGTATGTATATGTGATTTCAGTTACTGTTAAAATGATAATCGTATTTCTTCTTCTTTTTAGCAAGATCATTGTGTATATATAGGAGTATTAATCAGCAAATAATTTTATCAAAGCTCAGCAAAAGAAATTGTTTGCAGGTGAAAATTATTAAATTCTAGCTAAATAAATATACATACATACATACTTAAGAGCATAGCTAGCGCTGCCATTTTCTAAGCCACACGATAACGTCAGCCAGCAGGTGGATAACGACAAATTGGCATTGGCCTTGGTATTGGCATTGCCATTGCCATTGACAACGGCAACGTCAATGACAATGGCAATGCATATAGCACTATAAGAGAGTTAACAAGAATTCATCTTCTACGTCAAAGTGGCAAACACCCAATCCCTATTTTTATGGTAAACTCTCCACAAATTCTGAGAATCATGTTCAAACCTACGCTGAATTTGCAGTTGTCGTCAGTTGGAAAGTGCGGCCAAGCGCTTAGTGCTCCCACTTCCGCCTGCACGTGTACCAAGTGGGTGGCAGTGTTGAACAGCGTTATTGTGTGGGAAGGTTGTTAAATTCAAGCACAAGCTCGGTGCATTTCCAATTAAATGCAATTTTAATTAAGTGGCACTCAAATCATGTTTTGGAATGGGTTTGGAATTTTCCTTTTGCAAAATACAATTCCATGAAATGATCATTAGCAGGAAACTAGATTAAAATAATTTAATATTAGCTCATGGCATGTACACGAGCCAAGGAATTCAAATAATACCCGTATGCGTAATACATATGTACATACATACATATATGCATGTACGCATTTGTACGTAAATCTATATGTATATACACATAGTATGTGCTCCATTCAAGGAAATACATACTTTATAAAATAGATTTTAATTCCGTATTATGCTTTGAAATAATTCGTGTGCTATTCAAAAAATTGTTTGATCTAAAAGCGATCAAACCATTTTTGTAACCATTTACTGTTGAATTGAGTTTTTGTAAATTTTCCTAGTACAATAGAAAATACATATGTATATATTAGAATATTGCCATATAACAACAACATAAAACACATCGCATTAGTTACAGATCTATGTACATTTATCACTTTTTTCGTCGATGGCTAACTAAAAGAAAGTTCTTGGTGTGGTTTTGGAAAAGGGGAAGCCCTTATTTGTCGTGGATGCACAATCGTTTGCTGCTGATTACAATTTAAAGTTCTGTCCGACTTGCTCTTAGCCGATCATTTCATCTGCCATTATTTTTTAATTTGAAAGAAAATTATAGCTATAAATGTAATTTCTGCACGCAGCTGTTGTTGTTGTTGTTGTTGCTGCATTGGCTCAACTCTATACTGCACTGTATGTAAGTATATGTACCTTTAAATTACAGGGTTTGCAAATCGTTCTGCCGCAGATTTCGAAAGCTAATCACCCTGACAAATCATTCTCGATGTTGCTTGATAATCGATTTTGATCATTTATACATGCATATGCGTGTCTACAATCTGTTGCTACAAAAAAGTTCCCACATTAGCAGGTTCAAATGTACTTACATATATACCTACATATACATATATTAGCGAGTCACAATTGTCGCGCACACATACACACGTAATTTTACCATAAATTGCGCAATAAGCGCCTACTTTTATGGCTCAATTCACGGGTGTGCATGCGAGAGTGGTGGGCTGGCTGGCCCCACAGGAGAGTGTGGGGGAGCTGTCGGTGAATGGGTAGTTCTTTTCTTTCATCAGCTGTTGCATGCACACATATACATACATATGTACTCGTTCGTATGTACATACGTAGGTAGGTATGTGTACATATGTATGTATGTATTAATATGCATTTGATTATTCTTACTGCATGCGAAAGTATGCAAGTGCTTGTGTGTTTCCACTTCTGTTCTTGAAATGAAGTCAAATTTATAATGTAGCCAAGCACAACAAATTAAATTTCTGCGCTCTTTGCTAGCTCTTGCTTGTGTTATTGTTGTTACTGCTGCTGTGCCGGGGACCAAAAGTACAGCGCTTGGGCTTCGCGGCACAACCTTCACCCAGTTGGAGGAAATGTTAAAAATTTCATTGCGGCATTTTCGATTGCACATAGCGCAAGCAATTACCCTGGTTGTCTCTCCCCCCCGCCCGCTACACTCAGTCGCTGGCAGTAGCACACTGGAAGAGCAACAACACTAGCACCAGCAAAATTATTGCCGTTACCATTTTCAGTTGCTCTCTTCTCTTCAGTTGTCTGCAACCCAACCATGCCTTGCCTTATCGTCATCATCATCATCGTCATAATCATCATTTAGTTTGTGTAATGGCTTGCACTGCTTTCGCTCACTATCTCTTTACCCCACTGCCCGAGCTTTCCGGCCAGCCAGCGGCATGTGGAGCGCGCCATAGGTAAGCAAGAGATTAAGGTCACAATTGACAAACCAAAGCGAGTGCCTGCTGCGTCGACGCCATCGTCGGTGTCAGCGTCGCCCACACTGTCAGCATTTGTTGCTTGCTTTTAATTAAAAGCTACGCGCCTCTCATTCTACATTTCTGTGTTTCTCTCACGCCTGACTCACAACATCCTTAGGGGTATTTCATCTTTTGTAGCATTTAGCCACACTAAAATAATTGAAGATCTCGACAACTACTCAATTGGTATCTTTTTCAAATAGCGCCGCTCCCTTTATGAATAATCCTTGCCATACTGACTGTCAAGCAATCGTCAATATTTTTAGCGACATTTCATCATCACTTGCTATCGATATTTGCAAGAAGAAGACAATTTTTCGATCCCAATTTTTGGAATTATCAGAGTTTGTTATGCAAAAATATTTTCTTTATAAACAACAGGATGGCAGTTTTTTCATCTATCTACAAAGTTTTTTTTATCTTAGAGACAATTGCAATTTTGAATTATTGAATTGAATTATTTTGAATTTTTCTTTGATAGTAATCTAGTGCAATCAAACTGTATTATTATTTTACACGATTTCGGAGGGAATTTTTTTATTATAATATATTTTCAAATTGTTTATATATTTGTACCTATTTGTTTATGATTTTGGAAAAGAATTACAAAATTTCATAATTTTTTTTTTTAATTTTTGAAAAGAAATAAGCATGCGACTTTTTAAATTTTTGCACTTTATATTGCGCTTTCGAGAGTGTGAGTTTTGTAATAATAAAAAATTCTTTGAATTATCTCATCCTCATTAGAAATTAATAAGAGGGATGGTTTCTATGAATTTCCAAAACAAAAACAAATCCCAAAATGTGTCAATTTTTCCACAAATTTTCAAAACAAAAACGTGTATATTTGACATGCTGCTGTGCGAGTAAGTTGTGTGTATGTGAGTATTCAATTTTCCAATTGGCTTAATTTCTTAGAATTTGACAAGCAGTTTTTCTTAGTCTTCTTTGTTTTCTGCAAGTTTCTATCACCTCCTCGGCAGATTTCGGATTTCATGAAATTCCACGAAACGAAGCAATTATAGCATAAATTATAATTGGAGTTAAGGTGGCACAGCAAGGCTCAATAACAACAAAAAACAACAACCAGAGCAACCGGTTGACAGTTACATTTTAATTAGCAACATGTAGTACACAAGTTTTGTTTTTTCGTTTTTTAAAGTTCTCAAAGGTCCTTTTTGCAGTTGTTATTTAAAACTGCGAAACAAAAGGGTGACCGGCCTACCTCAATATTCTGTGTTATGTACTTATATAACTTATACATATGTATGTAGATGTACATATGTATGTATTTCATTGTTTGTTTGTGCTCCTTTGTCTTTTGTTGTTTCATTACAGGCTTTTGTTTGCTTGATGCGAACGAACCGAAGAGGGACAGCGTTGGGTAAATGACGCATACGCCATGTGGGCTCACGCAAAAGCAGCAGAAGAAGAAACGGCAGCATGCTACAACGATTGCATCATCATCAGCACAGCTTCAGCCTGCTATTTACTCCTTTTTGTGCGCGCACAAATACACACACATTCATACGCATACAAACACATACACAGTCAGTATCCAAGTCAAGTAACTACAGGTTGTTGCTGTTGTTGCTGCTGACGGCACAGTGGACCTGAGTTGGCAAACAATCGGTGGCACAATCGATGCTACATACTATCGATAGAAGCCAAGCCAAAAATTGCAGATTGTTGTTATTATTGCTGTACGCACAGTGGAATATGTGGAATGGAATCGATGCACCATCTATCGCCACCAAGGCAAGTATAGCGGTGCCACAATCAATGGCGACAGTATTGATGTTTCCTAACTTTTCTCACCAGCAAAGCATTCCTGTAAGTCCATTTTATTTTTACTTGCTAGCGCTTTGTTTCGAAAATTTAATATCTACTATCTACTAAGGAAATGCTCAAGCGAGTAATAACAACAAAATAGACACACAAATCAATAAGGGATTAAATTTGAAATTGTAGGGCCTACAAGGTTGTCGCTTACACTCCTCGAGTGTGGCTTTTGGACATAACAAGAATAATTTAATTTAGTTGCTGTCGCTTTCGCTGTCATTAGGTTGTCGCTGTCGCTGACATTGAAAAATACGATTCGTTTAACTCTCGTTTAAACTCCCACGAGTCCAACAGT